TATCCACATTGCTGGGTGAACATAACTGATCACTTGAACTACTTGTCAGTCTTCCATAATGTATATTTACCACATATAGCTGCTCACTCCCCCATAGACAGCCAGACTGCCTCCATCTCCACAGAATCATAAACAATCCTATGAAATAAATCCTCATGCATGTACCTTATAAAACTGAAAATTCCTGGAAGTGGAACTGCTTGAGCAAGGGTATCCACGTGTTTAACTTGACTCAGTACTGTCAGATTCTTCTCCATCTCTACTTCCACCACCAAATCCCTGAGGATTCCTCCCTATAGCTTTAAATCCCAGCCAGTGCTTGGCATTATTGGCTTCTGAGTTTGCTAGCCAAGAGCAGGAGAAGCACTATCTCATCATCATTTAATTTTCATTTCCCAAAATTTCCATGAATTTAGCAGCTCTTCACATGCTTGGATTTTTTTTTTTTTTCCTTGTAAATTGCCTGGTCATGTCACAAGACATTTTTCTTTTGGGATTTCTATCATTTTCTTGTTGGTACTTAGGGATTCCTTGTGAATTACATAGGCACCAATTCCATTTGTTTTTAGAAAGTACAGATATCTCTTCCTGTCATTTCTATGTTAATTTTTTTTTTTTTTTTTTTTTGGCGGACACAACATCTTTGTTTGTATGTGATGCTGAGGATCGAACCTGGGCTGCACGCATGCCAGGCGAGCGCGCTACTGCTTGAGCCACATCCCCAGCCCTCTATGTTAATTTTGACCAGCGTCCCTTCTTAGACCAAGATTCTTAGCTTAAATGTAATCAAGTTAGTCCTATTTTTTACCGTATGGCTTGAGCTTCTGAGGTTTTAAGATAAATCATCATTTTGCCCCACATTGTAGAGATTTCCTCTAACATTGACTTCTATTAGATTTATCATATTGCCTTTAGGATTTAAGCCATCTGGAGCCGACTTTTGCATATAGCTTTAAGAGGAATTCAGTTTTATTTTTTATTCCTATTATGAGCTAGTTTCCCTACACAGCAACTAGTACTTCCTTTTCCCATTGACTTATGATGCCATCCATCCTGCATATCACCTTACTCTATAAACAAGAGTCCACAAGGCTCTCTCTGTTCTACTTATTTATTTGGGGGCTAATATGAGATATATTTGTGTGTGTGTACATATAAATATGTATACACATACATATATAATACATGTAAATTACATATAAATGATTATTTTATCTATAAATTCATAATACATTCTGTTATATCTATTAGAACAAATCTCTCTTTCTTCCTTTGTCTCTCCCTCCTTCCTTCTCTCTTATCCCCAAATCAACTGGACATTCATTGAACTTTTACATATAAAATCTTAGGGCAGATTGTTAAGCTGCTCCAAAAAAACATCCAAACTTATTGGGATATATTAAAAATATATAAATATATTAACCTTGAGAGAATTTATATTTTTAAATATTAAATTATTCCTCCTAAGAGCATGGGATGTTTCTTAGGTTTTCCAGATCATCTCTTATGTCCTTCAACAGAGTTTTGTAGTTTAGAAAGCTCTCTCATAGGGTTCTTCTTTACTCGTTACTCTTGTTGCTATGGATCAATCCCAGGGTCTCCCGCATGCCAAGCAAGTGCTCTACCGCTGAGCCACATCCCCAGCCTCTCTTACTCTTGGTAAATATAATTATCAATTCATTATGATGTTCCTTGCTATAGTTTAACTGTGGATTTCATGTTTATCCTCTGATAATATAAATATACTTAGGTATTTACACACAGAAATTCTAGGAGAATTTTAATATTTATTGAGAGAGATGCTTACCCCATTGCTTTACTATTTAGAGACTTCTCAGATAAAATTCAAAGAAAATATAGGCTTGCTTGACATGGAATAAATATTTAACTTTGAGAAGTGGAATAGGTTATAACACAGAAATAAATTGGAGAAACCACACAGCATGAGTTAAAGGACTAAACTAAAAATTAAAAGAATACTAATGGGAGAAAGTTTTATTTAACCTTGATGAGGACAACATAAAGAGAAGAAGTATGATTCGTGTAATCAAGGAGGTGCCCTCTAACAGGAGAAACAGCATCCTGCCCTTGTCCTACTCCTGCACAGAGCAAAAAGTGCTGTAAAGACTGTGCCTAAGGGCAGGGAGGATCTCAGGAGGGGAAACTTTGAACAGGAGGTGAAGTGAAAAGGTAATAGTGCCAGTGACACATTTGGATGTATCTTATACACAACAAAAAGCACTGTTTCATTTTGTTTTGTTTTGTTTTTAAAGCAAGATAGTTGGCAGTTGGTATGTTTGAATTTGTGTATTAAAACTGGAGTCCTGGAGGCAGATTGAAGGCCACATTGGTGCAGGGAGACCAGTTAGGAGGCAACTCCTTAAGTTAATTCGGAGAATAAAATTCTTGATAACAGTACTTTAAAAGAGCCACCCGTGGGCTGAGGTTGTCGCTCAGTGGTAGAGCACTGGCATTTGTGAGGCACTGGGTTCAATTCTCAGCACCACATATAAATAAGTGAATAAAATAAAGAAAGGTCCATCAACAACTAAAAATATATATTAAATAAAAAAAAAGAGCCACCTTCCCTGCCAAAAAAAGGTGATAGCTGGAATACTTAATGTTGAAGAGGAAATATTACCCTCTGGATAAGTTGTGGTCCTACCTACATCTCCAGACCTGGAGCACATAGTTGAAATCAGTGTTGACACACAAAACCCGCAGCCACAGCTCTTTAGGAATCCTCAGGGGCCTGTGGCTTAACCATATACCATTTTTCTGTCCTCCTGCCATTTTTTACCTTTTTCCCCAAGTTGTAAGTAGTTCTTAAATATAAATATATTATTTATCTGTGTTTTTTGTCCCACAGAACTTTGAAGAGAAATAACTTAATCCAAGCTATAAAATGGTGATACAATAATAAAGCCTGAGTTTCAGCTTCCTCAGTAGAAATTGCTTCCTGACATGCATATTTCTTATCTTTAACATCAGACTTTCTCTATTTCCATTTTATTCCAAGAATCTGTTTATGTGTCAGTTTCTATATGTTCTCTTAACCTAAAATGGCCTCCATATTGAACAAATTGTAAATAAGGTAAATATTTCAGAATACTTATTTAAAGAGAAATGTATTCTCAAATGAGACATATTGTTTTGGTAATGACAATGACAATAAGAATGATGATAGTTATAATAGGAACCTTTGTGTAGTGAATATTGCCCGGCATTGTTTTAAGCATGTACGTTTATAAACTCCATGAGGTAACCCGTATTCCCCTTTTATAGTTGAGATGATTAGAAATGCAGAGTATATAAGTATGTAACTAACTTGCTCAAGAACACACAGCTAGTAAATGATGGCTTAAACCTTGTCTATCCTGTGGGCTGGTGGATGCTGAGAGCCACAGTCGGTCAGAATGGCCCCGGCATTTTGCCAGAAGTAATGGTTGAGAGGCAAGCCATTAAGATGATGATAATTAAGTTAAGCTGTCTATAATTGCTGTGACTGGATGATGCTGGATTGAAACAGGCTGTATATTCAATTGTATATAGACCCCTGCTGTCCGCCTCAGGCGCCCACTACTTTGGAGTTCTCTTGGGGATTCCTGGGGAGTTCGCGTTGGTTGGTGAAGTTCTGGTGGAGGGAGTTCTGGTTGGTGTGTGGTGTCCCTGAGAGGGCCGCGTGGGTGGCGTTCGGGGGAGTTCGGAAATAAAGTTTGTTCCTGCTTGAGTGGCTCGTGATTTGTGTCCAGCCAGACTGCGGCAGGCTGGGGTTATAGTGCTTGCCTAGTGCATGCGAGGCACTGGGTTCGATCCTCAGCAGATAGATAGATAGATAGATAGAGTCCATCTACAGGTTAAAAAAAATTACACACACACACACACACAAAAAAAACACTGTCTATCTTGCTCCAGTGTTTATGGTCTTAATTTAATCTATGCTCCATGTCTTTGATATTTTAAATATCCCACACTTTAATATTTGTACAGAGTAAAGAGCTTTAAAAATCTGAGTCTGAGCCAGGCGTAATAGCACACACCTGTAATTCCAGCAACTCAGGCTGAAGCAGGAGAATCACAAGTTCAAGAGCAGCCTGGGAAACTTAGTGAGAACCTTTCTCAAAATTAAAAAAATAAATAAATAAAAAGGGCAGGGGATATAGCTCAGGGCTTACTTAACACATGCAAAGCCCTGTTTAATCCCCAGTACTGAAGGAAAAAATAAAAGAAAATGTGTGACAGTCTTAAGAATCTTTTAACTGTCATTTCCCATGACTTCCATCTAGTTCTGAATGCAAGCTATTACTGTGCTTGGCTATGCAGTCCGCCTTCAAAGAGCAGCAGGGGATCCAGAGCTGTTGGGAATGGTACAGAAACGAATGTTACTTTTTCTCCTGTATTCTTATTAAGACCTTTTCACTTAAATTCTTATAAAACAAAAGCAGTAGAATCTATATAAGCATTTGTCAACCTCAGGATGATTTTCTGATCTTTGGTACTCAGTGTCAGGCAAACTAACTGCTCCTATGTTAAAATATATGTTCAAAGATATATGTGTAGTTTGCAGACTGGCCTGTGTCCCAGCATTCCCAAGACCTTGCTTTGTTGCCTAGAATGGCTTACCAGTTAAGAGGAGCGTGCTCTGGAAACCCACCCAATGGGCCACAAGACAGTTCTGGAGCTCTGTCTTCTGCATAGATCCCTTAGAATATGTGCATTTCTGTTTTTTACATTGTACAAGTGACAAAAACAAGGTGAAAACGAGAAGCAGGACTATGGCTCCTATTCTCTTGAAAGTAAACATTAGCCAAAAGCCACAGGGGAAAGATGTTAAAAAGATGGTAAAGTTCCAATTGCGGACAGCTAACAGTGCTGGTTCCTGCTAGTCACCCAAGTTGGTAAAGCTGTAACCATTGTTATCATTTCATTCTCACAGATCCACTTGACCTTCACATTTTTATGTACAAATTCTTATTTTTGTTTTTTTCTCATTTAAACAGAGCATCATGGTCCACCATCAGGAACAAACTCTGCCAGGCAAAGCCCAGCACTGCAGCACAGGCCCATGGGACAGTCACAGGCCAACCACATACCTGGGGACAGGTGGGGCTGTTCTAAGGTTTTCCTCACAATCCCCACCCCCACCCCACCCCATGCAGTTATGTAGAAGCCAGCTGTTGAGTCAAAATGAAAACTTGCCTATTCCTCCCTCAGGACCTTCCCTTTGCCCCACCCTCACCCCTCAGTACCTTCTTCCCCTTTCCAGCCACATCCCAAGCAGGCCATGATCATCTGGACCTGCCCAGTGAGTCAGGCTCTGGTATTCTTGGTCAAGCTAATGCTGGTAGGGAAGCCCAGGCCCACATGGATTGCTGTCCTCGTAGACCACCAGAGCAAAGCAGGCCAGAATTTTATACATATTTCTTTTGTTGAAAATATTAGTCACAAAACAAAAACTGGATTTCTGGAAATCCAGCATCTTGCCAGGCATTGGGACTACAAGAGACACATTTTTGACTGAGACAAGGTCAACTTGTCTGCCCTCTGGTTCAGTTACTTGAGGGCAGTTGTCCTTGGTATAAACTATACTGATATGCAAGAAATGGGATGCCCACAGACTTCAAGCCGTGCTGAAGTTAACGACCAGGTCTCCCCAGCATCTCTCTGGTTGTAGACAGTCTGTCTTTGTAGGGGTTGGTCAAGGGGAGAATGGCAAGGGTTGGCTTGAAAAGAAATGAGTCTGCTTTTCCTTGTGGACTATTTTTATTGTCTTGCTCTATAGAGTGACTTATTTTCTCTCCTGTAGAAGTGCCCTAGAAGGTGAAATTGGAAAAGATGTCTCTGCTTCTTACAGACATTCGTGGTCTGACCACAAGCACCTTGCACAGCCTGACACTGCAGTGATTTCAGTTGTAGGCAGTCGGCACAATCAGGTAAACAAAGCCCCACATGTGAACTGAGATTTTTGAGTTGCTACATCACTGACCTAGTGACTTTTTATTGCAAATCAGTTCAGATAAATCTGTTTCCAAAATTACTAATTCTTGTCAACCTCCTATGTGTTTTTTCAGCTTCTTGAAAGGATATAAAGACAAGCAAAAATTTACCCTCTAGTGGAAGAAATTTGATCCTTTAGTGAAGTACTTGGAAGCACATAGCGTAGCTATGGAGGGGGCTTTTGTTTGTTTGCTTGTTTTTTCAGGAAAATTTGTCAAGATTTACTAAAAGGAAGCACTTTCTAAAATTCTATTTTCTGGTTGCACATTGTTCTATTGCACATTGACCAATTAGAAGAGAATGTGTCATCTTCAGATTGATTTAGGCTGTGTTTATAAAACTTACATTCCTTCCTTATGATAATAGAAATGCATATCAAGAGTGTAACTCATTTCTCCCAGCTATTAAAGTAATTTTTCTTCAAAATGTAAATAAAGCAGTCCACAGAACTTGTTTTGCTCGTACTTCTTTCTCTCCAGAGCCTTGGTTGCTACCCAGTAGAGCTGGAAAGAGGCCCCCGGGGCTTTGGGTTCAGCCTCCGTGGGGGAAAGGAATACAACATGGGGCTGTTCATCCTTCGCCTTGCTGAGGACGGGCCTGCCATCAAAGACGGCAGAATTCATGTGAGTTGGCTTCTGTCTGCAACCTTTGCTTCTGGCTCTAGACTGGAAACTTCTGAAAAAAAATTGATTTAAAAGGAACACAGAAACCTCCTGAATCTGAGAAGCAGGATTTTCCTAAAGTCATGTTCCCTTCAGCTGCTGTGCTAGTCATGGTTACACTGCTTGACCTTCTCAACCTTGGTCAAGGAGAAGAATCATTTATTATTTCTATAATCAACATTTAAGGGCAAATGGATTAATGCATACACTTTCATCTTATTAAAATTCTTGAAAAGCCAGGATAAAACAGAATCATCAATTTCTTCCAAGAAACAGTATGCCCAGGAAATTTTTCCCTCTTAGCTATCTATAGAGGTGGAAAACCTTGTCTCTCCCAACCGTTATCTGAAGGACTGGAACTCCTGGCAATAGTGTTCCACCACAGGTTTTATTCTTGACTCTGAAACGCTGGCTGGGTAGAGGGCCCTACAGAGCAGGTTGCACAGAGATCTGCATTTTTCCTTCTTCTCTGGATGTTAGTGTCTTCAATTTTTTAAAAAGTTAATTCATTGTATTCAGTTGACATTCTCAGTATTAGACAACCATAACTCACTGCCCAAGAGAACTTTTCCTCCATCTGCCACCAGTATGCATCAAGGAAAAGGAATCTTTTTTTGAAGAAAAAACAAAACAAAACACTTTTACTAAGAAGGGCAAATGATCCTTGGGTAGCATACTAACAATAACTAGGAAAGGCTTCTAGTTGGTGGCATTCTTGAACCTTCCAAGTCATGTAGTGTTTGCTCTAACCAAGGCTTTATGCCTGCTACTGAAGAGTTGGGAAAACGGATGACCCAAAACCAGTGTAACTCCTTCCATCCTCCAAATGACCAAAGAAGTGCCCAAGTTCAAAGAGGTGAATAGAGAATTACATAGAATAGGTGATTCTGGAAGGTAACAGGATTTCCATAGGGAGATTGAGGACCAAAAGCACTGTCATTGAGCAACAGAGTTATACCAAGGAAGAGTAAGTCATGTCTAGGGAACTTCACATGTAGAGTTCCTTAGGAGGTACATAGGGGAATGGAGGGAAATGAGAACATAAAAGTAGGATGAGTCGCTAGTATAGAGGTTCTAGAAGCCCGGAAGCCTTTTGAGCCAAGAGTTTCCCCTTAGCAATGTGCTGCTGAAGTGAGTGTATCCGCGGCTGCAGGAGGATGAAGGGGCTGCAGTTCACGCAGGTCGGGTGGTGGTGGGAGTGCAACCTGAGTGGTGACCTTTTGGACAGAAGATTAAAGGGGAGAAAAAGTGCATAGGAGATCACCTGTCAGTGAGGAAAGGACCAACCTAGATGACTGGCATGTGTCAAATGAGTGAGGGATAAGAGGAAGAGTCTGCCTATGAAAAACCATTAGGGAGACCAGGGGAGACAGAATTTGGCAGGCTGATGAGGTCGGTTCGTCTTGTGGAGGTGGAGGTACAGCTGGCTGAGCAGGTGAAAGGCGACGGTGAAGACAAGGGTGGTGGTTGAAGCCCTGGTGGTGGATAAAATCAGTCATGGGCAAGGGCAGAACTCAGAGCAAGGCCTGTGGTTAGTGGTTCAGAGAAGACAAGAGGGAAGGGTGAGAATGCAGAGCCACAGAGCAGAGCGACGGAGTGTTCAGGACAAGCAGAAGGACTAACGGCCAGATGCACTCAGTACAGCATATCCAGAGCTGCTGCATCTAACCTCAGGTCACTTTCACGCAGAGACAGTCTAGTAGTGAGGAGCGTGGGTTTGGAAATTCAAGAGGCCAAGAACCAAAGCTCCGGTCTGCCACTCCTCAGCTGTGTAGTCTCAGGTGGCTTCTCCTTGAGCCACTGTTATAGAGATGGCAACTCATTCCTGGCGTTCCTGATTCTCTTCTCTCCCTTCACCCTCCACTCCCTCCTCCCCCGCCCCTCCCCTCCCATCCCCCCTCTCTCACATCTGTTGGCATGTTTTAAATGTTTGGTTTTTTTTAAATCTCCTATTGTATATATAGTGGCACAAAAAAATTCACTTAAATGATAGATTGGAATATAATTGTTTTTTAAATATTGGTTCCAAATAGGACCCTCATGATTTTACCAAATAAAATGCAAACAGACCTTCGAGCAGTCACTGTCATCCTAAAAAATGTCATTCATTAAAGATGACCAGAAACTTTAGAATCTCATGACTAAATCAACTTTTCTTTAAAAAATAAATTCAAAAATTTGAAAATAAATATGCTATTAACTGTTAGGCCCAGGTCTGCCCCAGACTATAAGAAAATATTGGCATCTGTCAGGCCAGGGCTGTGTCCTTGTGGATTTCACTTAATTTCACAGTTTCTTAACAGGTTGTAGATAGTGTAAGACATGGGTTAGAAATGTTGTTCTGGAGTTTTAATATTTTTCAGTCAGTATTGTTTTTAAAACTATATATACTTTTTTAAAACTAAAAGACTATTTTTTAAAAAGAAACATTCTTTATACCCCTTTCTTCCTACTTATCTCTTGAGATGGGGACTCACTATGTTGCCCAGGCTGGCCCCAAACTCCCGAGCTCAAAATCCTCCAGCCTCAGCCTCCCAAGCCTGGAGCTATAGGCACGCAGCGCCACGCCACACCCAATTTATTTTTCTTCTTTTATTTCATTTTTTTCTTTCATTTCTCTATCTTTACTCTTTCCTCTGTTCCTTACAATTTTATTTTTCAATAAAACTGAACTTGAATCTTTATTAAAAAGATGTTTTTCCAAATTCATTGTCACAGTTTAACTTAAAATTTCATTAGAATGTCTCCATTTCCCTCTCAGAGGTACCTTGTTTTTTACCTGTGTGTAGTTTAGTGCACGACGACGTCTCCCTATCTGTGGGCCTATAAATCTTAGAGCTACAGCTCACCCCTGTTGCCCTAATTTGGTTTTAAAGTTAAAATAAAAATGACACCTGGTGGCAAATCCATTCAATTACAAGTTTTATTTTCCGTTTATTTATGTCCTAAAAGAATAGTTTTGTTTTAGACAGTTTAAGCCAAAGAATATGATTGAAATTAACTATAACCTCAATCACATTTTATAACATAACCAAAGCATACTTCAAATATTATCTGATTTTCATTTAATTATCAACAGGATTATATGTATATAGTGCTAACTTATCACCTGTATTTCCTCATGAAAGTGATTCTTTCATCACATACTAAGGGAAATCTAGGTATTGGCTCTTGTTTCACTTATATATTCTGGACAGTGTTTTGTTGTTATTTTTCTCCATTCTATTATCCTTAATTTCTTATTTTGGTTTCTTGATTTTTTAAGTTCTTTTCCTTTTATGTATGTGTCTTAGTTTGTTTTCTATTGCTACAACTGAATACCTGAGACTGAAAAATTTATAAAGAAAAGAAATTCTTGGAATTTCTTAGAAGTCCTTGGCCAAGGGGACACACCCGGTGAAGGCCTTCTTGCTGATGGGGATGCACAGTGACTTGGCAAGACAGAGCAAGCATGCCAAAAAAAGCTCACTACTCCCTCAATAATCCATTAACCTTTAAGTGGATTAATCCATTTATGAAGGTAGAGCCTAACCACTTCCTAAAGGTCCCCCACCTTCCAATTAACATGTGGCTTTGGGGACTAAATTTCCAACAAATGAATTCTGGGAATTCAAACCACAGCAATTTAAACAGCAATATCAAATTTATCAATCTTTTTTTTCTGATATCTGTTCTTCAAGAGTGAGACATCTCTTTTTTCCTTTTCATAAATATGGAACAAAATACTTACTCTGGGGCTGGGGTTGTAGCTTAGTGGTTGAGTGCTTGCCTCACATGCATGAGGCACTGGGTTCGATCCTTAGCACCACATAAAATAAATAAAAATATTGTGTCCACCTACAACTAAAAAATTTTTTTTAAAACTCTTACTCTATTTTTCTATTTTATTGAATTGCATAGATATCATCTGCATTTAAATCACACTAAAAATGTACTTTACAGTAACTTGACAACTTATGTTTACTTGGTGGTATGCAATGGTGTTTTATCTCATTAACTCTCCCAACAACCCCAGGAGGTAGGTGCTAATATCCTCATGTAACAAATGAGGAAAAATGAGACCACTGAGCTAAAAAGAAGTGGAGCCAGGATTGAACCACAGATTTTTGACTCCAAAGTCCAGCTTCCCAACTGCTGTGCCAAGCTTTAGCTGGAGGCCGAGTTGTTCTGTGGACTTCTTTCAATAATTACTGAGTCCCTTTCTCTGTGTTGCTTCTGGATCGTTTTAGCTCTTACAAATATTTGGAATGTTGTCTTTTTGAAATTTTGGTGATATTGCATTGTTCAGTTGTTCTGTTTTGAAGCCAAACATTTCAGTTGCATGTCACCTTAAAGATGATTTTAAGGGGCTGGGGTTGTGGCTCAGTGGTAGAGCACTTGCCTAGTACATGTGAGGCGCTGGGTTCAATCCTCAGCACAACATAAAGATAAATAAAGCAAAGGTATTGTGCATACCTACAACTAAAAAAAAAATGGAAAAAAAAAAAAAGATCTTAAAATCACTGCCATTGCCAGGTGCAGTGGCACACACCTGTAATCCCAGTGACCTAGGAGGCTGAGGCAGGAAAGTAGCAAATTTGCAACCAGCCTCAGCAACTTAACAAGACCCTAATTTAAATTAGGGGAAAAGGAGAGGGGCCCACTGCAGGTATAACTCAATAGTTAAGTGCTCCTGGGTTCAATCCCCTGTACCAAAAAAAAAGTTAAAAAATCACTATTGGGCTGGGGTTGTAGCTCAGTGGGACAGCACTTGCCTAGCAAGCGTTAGGCACTGGGTTCAATCCTCTACATCACAGAAAATAAATGAATTAAATTAAGGTATTGTGTTCATCTACAAATATTTAAAAAAAAAAATGCCACTACCATTATTAGCTTTAATCAAGTCCTTTCCATATTTTTCCTTTTTCTTACAATATATTCCTAATATATGGCAATGGTACCGGGGCATCTTATTCTGATCCTTAGTTTTGTTTTCCAGGGAAATGATTTTAAACTAAAGTCATTAAGTGAAAGCCAGTGATTGCTTTTAAGTAACTATTCATATTCAACTATTTGTTTGTTTTTTAGAATTTTACTCTAAATGTGTCACTTAGCTAAGGCTTCATGTCTGTACATGGTATAGTGGTAGCACAAAGAGTAAGTAGTTCTACGAAAGGTGTCAAGAATAGGGAGATATCTTCCTAGGTTCTAGGAGATAATTTGAGATTCAGCTCCAGTTTGAAAGTACCCTTCCCAGATTCCTCATTCCCATAGAGGCTCTGTGGGGCTGGTGTGGGGCTCAGTGATAGAGCACTTACCTAACATGCAGGAGACCCTGGCTTCAATCCCAGAACCACACACACAGAAGGAGAAAGACATGCAGATGTAGCTCTGGGGTATCATTTGAATTACTGTAGAACTTCACCTCTTCTTCTGTTTATCTTATGGAAGAAAACAATTTTTTCAATTCTAGGGATCAAACCAGGGCCTCACACATGCTAGGGAAAACTTAGACTTTGTTTCTTGATTTCAAGATGCCCACATCCTAACATAGTAGCCATATATAAATTTCCAATGTAGGATTCTTGTCAATAAAGAACATTGTACATTGTCCCTTTCTACTAGTACCAGCTGTTCACACATCACCTCTAGCATGATAGCAATGTCACCAGCAAGGTTGAAGGGCTCTAAAATTAGCAAAAGCAGAACTTGAAGGGTGATGGAGAGTTTCATGATGTTCCTGTAAATATTCCCTGTCTAGGTTGGCGACCAGATTGTTGAAATCAATGGGGAACCTACACAAGGCATCACACATACTCGAGCAATTGAGCTCATTCAAGCTGGTGGGAATAAAGTTCTTCTTCTTTTGAGACCAGGAACGGGCTTGATACCTGACCATGGTAAGTAAAGTTGCTAAAGGTCTATGGGTAGCTAACATGTGTATTAGGAAACAGGCAGCAGAAGCAGAGGAGTATTTATTTGGAGGGGATGGATATTTTACTGGCTAAATCAGAGTTGAACACCAGAACCATTAAAAGCAGAATTATTATAAAACAAGTGACATCAAGCAGGACATTTGTTGGTATAAGATCTATTTTAGATTGATTTCATCAGAAAACAGTGCTTTTGTAGAGAAATGTGCCTGTAAGAAATGAGCATATTAGAAGCCAACAATTTAAATGTCATGAAAAACATTTTAAATGCCTTCAGAAGATCCCAGCCATCTCCCTGCCTCGGCTAATTACATATCACCAACAAATGTTATTGGTTTCCTTATAGTAAGATAACTTTGTCTCTAAATGAGTAAATACCATAAGCCCTTTGGCTTTTCTGGTCACCTGTCTGAAACAAGTTGCTATAGCCCTACCTGGAGACACAGAGTTGGACCTAAGAACCACGTCTATACTCCTGTGCTGATCCTAAACTTCCTCAATTTCCCTGTATATTTTTGAACTGTCACAGGACTTGAGAATCACTAATTATTTTGTGAGTGCATGATCCTAAATGCAGTACCACACCTAGTACTCGTCTCCTCTGGCTCCCCGCCCCGTCACAGAGCTTCTGTAGGATGAGTGTAGACATGACCTCCTCCAGGCCCTTCCAGCTTATGATTCTCTGACTGTATTACCTTCCACCATCTGCCTGTAAATCATACATTCCCAGTGACATCTTTGCTAACTGCGCTGATTTTTTTTTTTTTTCCACATAGTCCTAGGCTTTTTCTCTTCCTTCTTCAGGTTTGGCTCCTTCCGGTCTGTGCTCCTACGTGAAACCTGAGCAACATTAAGGCTTTCAGGGCTTTTCTTGGTCTTTCCTTAAAAAGACTTGGTAAATTTGCATGTCTTATAAATCACTTTCTTCTTTTGTTTTCTTTTTAATTAAAAATAGATGCTATTAAATACATCTATTTCTATCTTCTGCCCTTTGCAGTCTCCTTTTGACATTAAATTTGACAGCTTAATTCAAGAAAATTATTGGCAAATGCCCATGAACCTCACTCTCGTTGGGTCTACTTTATATTAGTGATTTTGACATATCATTAAGTGATACCCATTAATAACACCTTAATCAGTAAGCTTTTAGGACCATGTAATTTGGTCCAGTTTTTTTATTCATTTGACTGGGCTTTATAAATAAAGAATTTACATAATAATATACGTATTATGATAAGTATATTATGATAATAATAACTGTTTTATATACATAAACAGTCTACCCTCCATGTACAGATGTCTATACACATCTGTCTTTACAGAGAGATACATAAACATAAGCTGGGTAACATACTCATCCTCCGGCTGTCTAAGCAGTCAGTACAACCCAAATGGCTGTCAAAGTTCAAACTTATTGTTCCCGTATATAATTCTAAAATGTAATAATGTTCCATTCAAATCACTTTTTTAGGTGATTGGGATATTAATAATCCTTCATCTTCCAATGTGATTTATGATGAACAGTCACCATTTCCCCCATCTTTACATTCTGCTTCCATATTTGAAGAGTGTCACGTACCAGTAATTGAAGAATCTCTAACGAGAGTTCAGATATGTGAAAAGGCAGAAGAATTAAAGGACACTATACCTGAAAAGAATAGCACTTTAAATGAAAATCAGCCTGAAATAAAGCATCAGTCTCTTCTCCAGAAAAATGTGAACAAGAGGGATCCAACCAACAGTCCTGGGCACCGGAACAAGAAAAATCTGAAAATAGAAAATGGTGTTACACGAAGAGGTAGATCTGCTAGTCCCAAAAAGCCAGCTAATCGTCAGTTAGAGGAACACATGGAAAAAAATCCAAGTCCTCTAAAAAATGACCCCAGAAGGCAACCCAGAGATCGATCACTGAGCCCTAGGAAAGGGGAGAATAAAAGTTGTCCGATTAACAGCAAGGCAGGTTCTGAACAGAACCAATGCAGAAAAAGCAGAGGACGATCTTCTAGCCCAAAGAAGCAGCAAAAACTTGAAGAAGGCAAAGACCCAGCAAATGCTAGCGCCAAGTTATTAGAGGGTGAGAGTCGAAGAATAGCAGGCCACGCTGGCGACAATACTGAACAGATCCCAGATGGGAAAGAAAAATTGGGTGTCATCAGGAAAGAGCTGAAGCAGAGTCCACTGGAAAAAAATAGAGCAAGGTCTCCAGAGAAAAAAAGCAAGAGAATGGATGAAAAGTCTCTTCCATCCAAAAAGAACGGTAACACTGCAGGTGGGGTAGGGTCTGAAAATGAAAGAGGAAGGCAGGCAACCGCGGGAGAGACGCACCCCGGTAAAGACAGAATTGGAGAAAATGGCCAAGTATCAGAAAAGAAGCTGAAGCAGGAACCTGAAGATGATCACAAAGGGAAAGATCTAGAGGCAGCTGACAAACGCAAAGAAGGTGGAAGGGTCAAATCTGAGAGTAGCTCTCTAGTTAAGAAAGCACCCATAACTCCAGGGCCCTGGAAAGTGCCAAGTGCAAAGAAAGTCACAGGCACTACTGGCGTGGCCGAGAAACGGCTGTGACTGTTGGTGAAAAACAAATTGAAAGAGCACTTTACCCCCTTCCCCACCTCAAAATATTTTTTTTTTTGCCCCCCTTCAGGAAGTCAAATACTTAGATACATTTTAATTTGAGCATCGAGCTACCTAGGCTGCATGAAGGGCCTTTAGGATTGCTAAGAACCAGCCTTCCCTGGCTGCCGTCCCTCACGCTCAGGAAGGAGCTGCATCTAGGCACTCCTCTGACATGATCTGCTCAGGCTGCCTGGCTCGTCTTCATGAGTCTGAACAAATGATATATGTTGATATTAACGTGGTCACAGCTCACACTGTATTTGTGCCAAGTTACCTGCTGTATCATATCTGTTTTATCTTTCTCATTCAGATATTTTCACAGTAATGAAAAAGTTAGGTTTGGCTTGGAAGTTGATGTTTTCAAATAGCATGTTGCATGTTTACAGAGAGAAATATTTGAGTCCTTGAAGAAGAGATTGTTAGCTCATCATTAAAGATGGCAGTTGCCTCTTGTAACAGCTACCAATGATGTCCCAATTTAAAAATGAAACTCCAAAACATCACTACTGTAAAAAAAAGTCAGATATTAATGCTTTCTCATGACTTTAATTTGGATGGACAGGTGTTCCAAATAACTGTTAAAGATATCACCTACATAAATTGAATGTTCAAAATGAGGAAGTTCTCCAAGCAAGAGTTCACCTCCTATCCAACCCTGATGTAGTTACAGCATCTCAGGTCACCCTTATCCCTCCCCCTCCCAACAAAAAAGCATGTGGAAATACTGCTTATTGCTTTTCAAAGAAAACTAGCAACTATCTATTTCTGGATATTTGGGTTGTATCTATTACTAAAGTCATTAGTCTTTAATACATAATATATATTTGAAGAGTCAAATATTAGATTGTGCAAAGGATGTAATTATGAAACCAGTTTCATAGTCTATTACCAGATAAAGTACCAGCTCATCTGGCAGATGTGCAAGTTCAGGCATTTCAAAGAACCTGTGTGGCCAGCAAGTCAGGGCATATATGGTAAATAGTATGTGCTGGGTCCTAATTTTAACTTTTAGCTGCATTAACATACTTTAAAACAAAAAAGGGAGACTAAGTATTTGCTTGATTTGTAAAACTTTTCAGAGTTCTTTTTAAAAAGTCTAAAGATGTTTGCTGGAAGTTAGAGATGGGTCTGTTAGACCCAAGTTTTTCAGTCCCCTGAAGCAGCATTCAGTAGCATCTATAAATACAGGCACACTCTCAGAATAAGATGCTCATGGAGTATTTGAACACACTTTTTCTGTCACCCTGAGTTCATCTTGTTGTGAAACACATTACGTCCAGGCCCTTCCCTCTGCGAGTCTGACTGTGAAACTCTTTAATGTAACAACTGTATCAGCCCCTGTAGATAACACATGCTTCCCAGAGTGAGCCTTTTGAAATCCCCTTTCATCCAGAACTATATTTACCATCTATTGTAACTACTTGAATAGAGCAAAATTAGGAGGCTTGATAAATGCTAAGAATTTAGTACCACAGAAATGATTTATTTTCCCTATAGTCCACAATTAGTGACAAAAAATCCTATTTTTATTGTTAACTGTGACATAAATTTGATGTCATATGTTGTCAGTTTGATGTGGCTCTTCCTAAGTAACTTGTCACTGTACTGATTATATACTGACTTAGCAATGTGGCCTTGGAATGCTGAGCAAAATATGGATGTACTGGTTGTAAATGTTTATATATGTACAGTACCTTTATATATACATGAGGTTCTGATTAGAGAAAGAGATCTGTAAATTGCTCGTTATTTTTTATATAGATATTAAAAAAAACCAAAAACAGTTCATGGCCTGCATTTTTTTGACCGTCAGCTTTGTTTAATGTGGTTTTCTGTTTGTGGAGCTAGTTCCCATCATGGTCTGAATCCTCAAATAGATCTTGTCCCAAGTAACAAACCATTAAAAATTGTACAATCACATACCTGTAATCCCAGCAACTCAAGAGGCTGAGGATCACAAGTTCAAAGCCAGCAAGTTCAAAGCCAGCATCAGCAACTTAGCGAGGCCCTGAGCAACTTAGTCAGATCTTGTCTCAAAATAAAAAAATTTTAAAAAGGGATGGGGATGTGACTCAGTAGTTCAATCCCCCCCCCCCCGCAAAAAAAAAAAAAACAAAAGAAGATTCTTATAATGTGACTTTTCCTGTACAGTTAAACTTATTCATACTTTATGTCCATTTTTCAAATTTCATTGTAAAGAATATAGATAGTATAACAAAATTATTTATATAAAGCTATCAGGGAGAAAATACAGCTTGTTTCTTTAGATTCAGTTACTAGATATTTGTGAGTCCAGTTTCATCACACTATGGCCATTCACATTAGCCTTGTGGGTCTTACTTAACTTACTTTTAGAATGAACTGTTTTGATTTCATTTAACCCTTAGTATGCAAAATGCCTTAAACCTGCTTCAATACCCTGGTTAACTTAATACTCTTGAGGAGAAAAATTCTACCTGCCATTGCATGAACTCACACTAAAATAAAACCTAATACCCTAGTTCCCAGCCCCCACCCCAGGACCTGTCACAGCAAAATAGTCTTGTCCTACTGGTCACCCAGGCAAAGGAGTCTTGGCATCTCACGGTGACACCAGATGGCTAAGATCCTACAGTCCTATAGCACTGTCTTTTCATATAGTCACATCCATCCTCTGAATCAAGGCAGCTCTGAACAGGTTCAACTCCTATTTCAGGTATCCTGGACTCAGAAAAGCATTTGGCATTTTATTTTTACTCAAAACTATCTTGCTGTTAAAAAAAGTGAATAGCTGGGCTGGGGTTGTGGCTCAACGGTAGAGCGCTTGCCTAGCACGTGCGAGGCCCTGGGTTCGATCCTCAGCACCACATAAAAATAAATAAATAAAATAAAGGTATTGTGTCCAACTACAGCTAAAAATAAATATATTTTTTTAAAAAGCGAATAGCTGAACATCCTGTAATCCCAGTGACTTGGGAGGCTGAGGCCAGCCTGAGCAACTTACTTAGACCCTGTTTCAAAGCAAAATTAGGGGCTGGGGATGTAGCTCAGTGGTAGAGCACCCCTGGGTTCATTGCCCAGAACCACCACCAAAAAAGCAAGGAGACTACAGATTAAACTGTATGGCATTCTGCCTACTCACTTCCCACAAATATATGTTTGAAACCTTAGCCCGTAATGTGCTCTTGGACTAAGGAACACTGGCATAAACACAGACTTGTTACAAAATGTGACATTCCAGTTTGATATGAGGAATACATCAAATTTACTTCATACATCTTCAAGGCATGCTCCAATGCCTAAAAGCTATCTCTGCTTTTTAAACAGTAATAGGTATGTTTATTTAGCTCTTCTGATTATACTGGTAAGAGTTTATCAGCAATATAATGACTTATTTAAAGCATTCCATAATTGAACAAAATCTAGAATCTTTAGTTAGCTGAATTAGTTTAAGAATCCCACTGACACATATGTTTTCAGTGTTGCTATACAAGTAGCATTAAGTATAAAAAGAGAATATGAAGTCTTACGAAGAGTTGGATGGAATTCAACAGAAAACTCAATCTTACTTACACATTGAAAATATGAAAACATAGCCAAGTACTTTAATTTAGCATTAATCTATTTTAACAAAAAATTCTGTGGGTGTCTATTTTATAATATTTACAATAAAACCACACAGAACAATTAACAAATTCACAAACAAGAAGCTTTTTCTGTCCTTAGTAAAGGATGACCATTTGTCAACTTGGATAACATCTGCAGCTTATTGGCTCAGAATATTCTGAGGAGAGGTACAGAATCATTGCACCCTCAAGACATTTAAACTACATCGTTCAACATGGGCACCAATAACTGTAAGAAGCAAAAGGTAAAATTACTAGACAATACATATATAATTAGATTAAGCTCCACTTCTTAATATTCCCCAACAACACAGTACCTTTTGGAGCAAGACCTGTCTGGCCTATTATGAGTGTTGATCTAAAAATTTTCAAAAATGCATTTAGTTGATTTTCTTGAAGGATTATTTTTACAGTACAGAGATCTACTTGCTTCTAAATACAGTGAGCCAAAAGTAAAGACAAACCCATACATTTATACTTTGTGAAACATCCTGGCATTTATAATTTTCCACCTAGGCCTGAAAGTCAAGAAAACCATACTCCAATTAGGCAAGTATGTGGTCATTCAACTTCTCAAGTGTTTACGTTATACATGGGCCAGAGTTGTACTTGGGAAGTTTGTAGATCAGACCTCCATGACAACTGTAGGAAGGATAGTTTTCCCCACTATAAAAGCAGATTGAAATATTAAATTGATAGGCATTTTTCTTACACTTTTATGGTCATTTCTATTCCAATTAAATATTTGAATAATTTAACATTATTTTAGCTTTACATCTTGGCTTAATTTCTCAGTAACGTAAATATTACCAAAATCTCATCCCTTTTGGATTCAAAAACACCAGTTTCTAGAAATTATATAGGGATAAATTAAACACTAAGGATAGGAGAACCATGAATTACAACTCTTCCATTATAACAGAAAAAAAAAGTCACATGAATGGTAACAGACGAGAGGTCTGTTATTCATTCATCCTGTACATGTTTACTGAGCACCGAGGATAGAGGTGCTGAGGTTATGTGTGTTCTGGGAACCTAGGAGTGAACAAGAAAAAATCCCTGCTTTCATGGGGCTTACACTTTAGTGAAAAAGACACACACAAGCAGGCAAAAAGAAATGATAAAGACCATGAAAAGGAAATGGACAGGGTGATACAACTGATAACGGCCCACTGTTGTCAGAATGAGTTGTGAGTTGAGAATTGCAAGTTCACAGCCAGCCTCTGCAACTTTAGCATGGCCCTAAGCAACTTAACAAGATCTGGTTTTAAAATAAAAAAGGGTAGGGATGTGGCTCAGTGTAAAACATCCCTGGGTTCAATCCCCAATACAAAAGAAAAAAACTTTCAAAAGTCTAACAATGAGAAAGAACTTGGTATATTATGTTGTGGTGGTCATGAGCTAGGTAGGCTCTTGGGAAGTGAAAGAGGATGGAGACCCAGATCTACAAGCATGACACTTGAGGTAGATAAACAAAACCTTCAGCATATGCGCATAACAGATGAACTAGAACAAAACCATAATCAACTGAAATGTCAACAGATTCAAAGATTTACATAATATGCCTGCATCTGACTTGCAGCTAGACTACTTAACCAAAAAGAACACTGTGAACCCCAAATATCAAATGAGTGTCAAGGGATTTAATTTTCAAAGAAGCTTTCCTGAGAACCTGTACATTTCTTGCCAGGAAAATCATACATATAATCAGAGAGCTCAATCCTGGGCACAGCACTGAGAGGTGAGGGCCATAATCCAGCCTTTGGGGTAAGTTTACCTTTGATGTTCTTAAATAAGTTTGCATGTGCCTCGCTCTGACACATCCAGGAATTCTTTTCAACAGTGTTTAAGTTAAGCAGGCCAAGTGGAGGTGCCACTGCCCCCTTGAAAGAACCTCATCTGACCCCTGTCCTTTGACATAGGTAAAGAGAAGTGAGGCTGTAAATGAAGGAGCATCAAGTTGGTCGAGAAGCAGGCCTAATAGAGAAGGGCCTTGGAGGCAACCACACAGAAGCCAGGAAAAGTTTAAATAGGAACGATGGAAATATATTTCCATGTTTTAAGCTCACTCATGCTGGGGAGAACTGACTGTAGCAGGTAATAATGGCAGCAGACCAGGTGAGTGTGAAGGAGGTTTAACCTAGTTGAGGTGGGAATGCCAAGTGACTCCACTTGGATCAGATAAGGAGCCTTTGACTTGAGCAACTGGGTAAACTTTGTATCACTTAAAGTGGAGAAAACATTTGCTCTCCTCCTTAAAACAACTGAAACAAATGTTAAGAAGTGAATATTGGACAACAGGCAGCACAGGGTAATGGAATTAAGGTGCACCCCGTGATTGCTCCAGATAACTGCCTAGTGGCAGCTGCTCAGCTGCGGCTGGGAAAGGGAGGACCCAAACGGAAGCTCGTAGGCTTGCCAGAGCTGAGAAAACAGAACTGAGAATGTGGGCTAGGGTGGCTGAGGAGGAGCACCAGAAAGCAGCAGCTTTAGCTGGAGGAGAGCGCTCCAGGGACATGCAGAGAGTTCCTTTCAGGTCCTAGCTGAGGATGGACCAGCCTGAGCACCTGGGGAAGTACCCAGAGACAGAGACAGAATTGCCACAAAGGAGAGCAAGCAGGAAAGTGGCTGAAGCTCACACAATACATGTTCTCACGGCCAAAGTGGAAAAGACCTCATAGTGAACAGTATGAGGTACAATATTCAGAAGGATACTGCCTCAGTGGAGAAAGGTAGCCCTAAAGACCGTGTGGCCCACCTAACAAAGCTTATAAAAGCAAGCCTTGAAATGATGAAGCTGTTTCCAATAACTGCTTGTGAAAATATAAAACAATATGAAAACTATGAACCCAAAGATTCAGTAAGTCCAACAAACCTAAACAAAAATCATGAAGAAAACTATACCAGATACACATTACAATTAAATTGTACAAATTCAATAGTAAAAAAATTAAAATCTGGGGTTGGGGATGTGGCTCAAGTGGTGATGTGCTTACCTGGCATACGTGGGGGCGCTGGGTTCAATCCTCAGCACCACATAAAATAAAGATGTTGTATCCACCGAAAACTGAAAAATAAATATTAAAAAATTCTCTCTCTCTCTCTCTCTCTCTCTCTAAAAAAATAAAATAAAAAAATAAAAATCTGAACAGCAGTTTTTTAAAAAATGAACAAAAATAAAAGTGATTTTTAAAAAACACAAAATTACAAAATGAAGCAAACTTCTCAGAAATGACAAAATCCAGGAAGCAAGGAATCAACCCCATTTTTAAATCTAGAATTTTATACTCAGCAAAAATATTTAAAAAAAAAAATTAGATGTATGGACCTTTATTTTATTTGTTTATATGTGTTGCTGAGAATCGAACCCAGTGCCTCACACATGCCAGGCAAACACTCTACCACTGAACCACAGCCTCAGACCCCCAAAATATACTTTCAATGTAAAGATTCAAACTATCTCTCAACAGAGTGACCCTATATACTTTGGTTATTTTCAAAATGACAGTAAACCATTCATAGATTCTAAATGATGAGACCAATGTTTCAGAAGATGTAGAATCTTTTGAGAAGAATGGATTGGGCTTGGGGAATAGGGGAACCATGAATAGGTAAGAATAGAACCAGCAGAAATTTGTTCAAAAAAAAAACAAAAAACAAAGAATATCAACATACACGAGGGTAGTGGCAGTGGGAAGGGAGAAAAGTGAACTGACCAGAAAAATATCCAAAAGATAATTATGCAGACTTGGTGAGTGAATGTGAGGTTTGGGCAAGAAATCAAGAATGATTCTCAAGTTTCTGACATGATCAACTATTAATTACATACAATTCACCCACCTGAAAAATAACTGAAACCAGTCACATACCACCAAAATCATAGCTAAAGGAACCCACAAGAGGAAACTACTATAATTCACTATGCAAAAGTTGCAGATTAAAATAGCAAATTTTTTGGTAGGGGAAAAAGATGAAAGCATCAGCTTTATTCATCTGAAATCTGTACTGAGCTCAGTCTTGAATTTGAGACAATTATTATTTTTCCCCAGGGAAAATAGTAAAGCCAGAGTTTCTATGAACTGTCTGTTGAAGTACCTCTACAGAACAGTTCCTTCTACAGATAAATCACTATAGAGCTTTACCATGAAAAAAATTACAACTCCCATGAGCATTCAAAATGGCTGCAAATTGTTGGTGATCCACTTCTAGTTCATCAACCTTGCTTCATGTTTCTATTGTCGAAGTGAGATTTTAGAAGAACTTTAGTAATAACAAATAAAGTGCTAAATTCTTTATATCATGCTAAGAACCTTACAGGATAATCTCATTTAACCGTAACAACCCTATTAGGTAGTTATTATATTTAACAGGTGAGGAAATTGAAATACAAAGAGGTTAATTTGCCCCAGATTATGACGCTAATAATCATCAGAGCCAAGGATTTGAACCCAGAAAGAGGATTTAAACCCAGAAAGATCTGACCACAATCCCTGAACTGTTGAGAAATTTATCTTGAAGCCTCACACAGATCTCCCTGCATACAGAATCTGTGTAACTGATACACTGATGGTAAATTAGTACATGCTTTACATGTTATAATCAAGTTTCACAAAACCTCATCATTAAAATGTTCAGGCTTTCAATCTGCTTCAAAAGAGTCTTCAAAGCAGGTAACTTAATGAACAAGAATGCTGAAGTTTTCATTAACATGTGTATATGCACCTGTATGTAATAGGGGGCACTGATAAGAGAATCTTCAGCATCAAAGGCATGGCTTGTTGATTACAGACACCCAAAACCTGAAATTGTACTGACGGCTGGACATGTTAAGCTGCACAAGATTAGCACAGAAACCAGGTTGGATGGACATGGATGAATGCACTAACTTACATTTCTCATACTGAAGTTTACCAACAGCTTTTCACCAACAGCTACAGTTATTAGGATTAATTCAGAATCATAAGCTAATTAAAAATTTCTCCACAATTGAGTAGAAGCTGTCAGTTCAAATGTTATTTTTTTCTTTCAACCACAAAAGAAAGCCTAGAAATCAAAATTCTCCAGTAAAGTTCTTTTATTTGGATTCAACCTAAAATAGTTTGTTTGTTCTCTGTGATAGAGAAATCTCCAATTCTATAGACTGTAATAGAAAAGTACTGAATTTGCATATTTCCAGTAAAAGATATTTGCTTCATGCTTTGGGTATCTACATAGTTACCCAAAAGACTTTATCCAGTAAATTTAACTATCACAGTACTGAAGTGCCCAGAATGAATTGCCTAACTTAGGAAATTGCCCTTGTGTTACCATAACACACACAGTCTTTAGTTGGCTGACTATTCCTATTGTTTGAAAACCATGAGAGTGCAGGTGCTCAGCACGCACACACAGGCAGAAAGGACTTGTTCCTCCGGGAACACCCTTTGTTAGATTGGGCAGAGCTGAGAGCACCTGTGCTTGTGGCCACGCAGGTGGGTGTTGAACTGGCTTCTGCAGTCATCTGTTTCCTTGATGGGTGAGTACTGATGCCTGCCAAGAGAGAATCCTGGCACGTGCGTGACTCAGCTTATGACTTAATTTTCCACAGCTGAAAAAAGAAAAGCACCAACAAAGGTAGTTTTTTTAAGACAGATGGGATGTAGAGGTTTACTCACTGACTAGGAACCAAGAATCTTAAAAATATCAACTCTGGCAACAGCAACCATAGAACATCATAGTGAAAAACTATTAAAAATTCCAGGATTAAAAATGGAACACTACAGCCAGGCACAGTGGTGCACACATGTAATCCCAGCAGCTCAGGAGGCTGAGGCAGGAGGAACACAAGTTCAAAGCCAACCTCAGCAACTTATTGAGGCCCTAAGCAGCTCAGTGAGACTCTGTCTCTAAATAAAATATAAATAAAACAGGGCTGGGGATGTGGCTCAGTGGTCAACTGCCCCTGAGTTCAATCCCCAGTATCAAAAGAAAAAAAAAAAATAATGACACACCGTAGTTCATGTGCTGTTGGTTCTCATTCATTCTACCTCTGTATATCTCCCTCAATCAGAAGCCCATTACCTAGCCCATGCTATTAAAGTAACATTAAACTTGAGGTTTGGATCAGACAATAGTTGTCTATTGAACTCGTGTAAAATGAGGAAACCTAAGCTGAGAAGCCTGCGGGCCGCCGAGCAGAGTGCCTGTTGCTTTACCTCAAGAGCTCTCCTGGTGCTGCGAGCACAGGAAGTACACACAGCGCTGCTAAGACACAGCCAGAACGCTCTAATAAAAAAAGTAAAATAAAACTCAGACAGCTCCCCAAAGGAAAAAAAGACTAAGGTGCTGCAGAGCGGAGGCCACACTTACTCTTATGTTAAACCCTAGAAGGTCACTTATAACTCCTGAGACAGCAGAAAGGATGACGACTCTTGTGATATTGTAGATTAAGGGATTCATTGTCAGTCCATAGAGTCTGAATGGCGTGTCCAGCTCCTAAAAAAAAATGCAAGAATCTGAAATAAGACAGTTTTTCAAAGGCCATCAGTGATTTCTTGCTGGTTTCTGAGTCTCAGGTGAGGGAGACTGCTTCAGGACATCTCTTCTTAGTATTTAAAAGCTACCCTCAAGAAATCCAGAATCTACTCTTACCTACTTTTCTACAAGCTAAGCTTTTTAAGGTAGATTGGAGCAATGTGTCATTCATGGGAGGAAAAAAAGTAATTTAAAAAATATGATAGACATCAGTAGTCATCAGAACCTGGGTAATAACACTGGAAACTTTTTCTTATACAGTTATTAATCCCAAACAATCAAGTTGTCATTTTGAATCTAGCCTGTACCTATTTGTTGTTAGGGTCTTTTCTAAGAAGTATTGATTTAATTCATTAATCAAAAACAAGCTTAATTCACTTTATTTTTCTTATATAAAACACTATGTGGTGGCCACAACTGGAGCCCGGGTCCTCTGTGCAGACTCTGGTGTGGGCCTGGAGGCCTTGGTGGAGAATTCCTGATAGACAGGTAAACATGCATCTTCCCAGAGGTCAGGACTGGGACAGCTGAGGATCTTCCATACAGCATCAAGGGTGGCCCTGTGAAGTGTGCCATGGTGACAGTGCAGCCTCTGACCCTGCAGCCCCTGCAGGGATGGATATACCAGTCGTTGGCAGCAGCTTTTGGGGCATCGAGGCCCAGACAACGCTAGCACCTCTGGGAGCAGGGATGAGGCCGCTGACAGAGGCACAGCAGCCAGTGCCCTTGCAAGGGCAGCGGGAGGCTTGCTGCTATCTTGTTCCTCCAGCAGCCTGGCCCCACAGGGATGACAGAGAACTTGACCTTGTTGATAACCCATCGGATGGTGCTGGCAACCTCCCTGGAGCACCAACACCCAGCCAACATGGCTAATTTAGTCCCTGATGGTAATAAACCTGGTCTGCAGGCCAGCGTGGGTCTGCTTTTACACAGGCAAAACTTCATCTGTCAGAGATGTCCCCAGAAAAAAGTCAATGACCTCTGATTCTTTGCAGACAGGGAAGAGAGGCAGATCAGAGCTCCTCTGTGAACATGTGCTGCTTATTTTCCACCATGTGGCTCAATGTAGTGATGGCGAGCCACTCTTTTTCCTTCAGTCCTGCCTCCAGAAGCTCTGGCCCTGACCTCCACCTTGACCCTTGACACCTTGGCTCCAGGGCCACCTCACCATTGCTGTTTCTCAGAGAATAAGCTGACTTAATTTAAATTGTAGTCAAATCATCTCATAAGATAGTACTTACTTTTAACAACTTGGTGGACAGCTTTAATACGTTGTTTACTAGAGTGAGCTGTTCTTTCTTATTTGGCTTTTTTTCCATTTTAAGATATAAATTAATCTAAGGGAAGGAATAGAGAATATGATAAATTTCACAGAAAGGATTCGTATATATTATACTGCATAAAATCTGGCAGATTTTGAGGGCCATGTTTTCAAGTAAAATGAATTTTACTTGAAAAATTGCAACTATTTCTACAGAAAACATATATCATGTCCCCTAGCCCTCATCCCTAATCAGTGGCCCTTTGGCAAAGAAAAACTACTTAATAAAGAAAATACCTATAATGATGAAGCAATTTAAATATCAAAACAATGAAAATATTTAAATTAATTATAATTATCATGAAGACTCCTTGAATTCAAAAACTATTTTATTAATCTCAGTACCCCCTAAATAATTTAATATCCTCATTAAACATTGTAGAAAGAAAGAAAATAGCTGCTTTTAACTTGCTAATTCTTTTTTTTTTTCTTAGAGAAAGAAATCTCCACTATGATTCTAAGGCAACAAACAAAAAAACTAATGATTCCAAATGTTTTTACCTAACAAGTTTATAAATAAGCTTGAAATTAAAATCCAAGTTAAGAAGAAATCACCTTATACTACTCTGTATTTACAAGAAACATTTCTCAATCGTATTATATATATCACATACTGAAAAATACACATTTTCCAAACACTGAAAATGATGTATTCTATAGCTGATAAAGAAATTCAAAAGATTTAACAGATTCAATGATAAGTAATCTACAGATCCAAGCCGGGCGTGGTGGCACATTCCTGTAATCCCAGCAGCTCAGAAGGCTGAGGCAGGAGGATCACAAGTTCAAAGCCAGCCTCAGCAAAAGCGAGGCACTAAGCAACTCAATGAGACTCTGTCTCTAAATAAAATAGGGGATGTGGCTTAGTAGTCAAGTGCCCTTAGTTCAATTCCGGGTACCCAAAAAGATAAATAAAATCCAACACTAGATATAGAGTATGAGATTAACAGCAAGCTCCAAGCCATGCCCCTTAGCACAGGTCTATAATCCCAGCTCTAGAGAGGCTAAGGCAGAAGAATCTCAAGTTCAAGGCCAGCCTCAGCAGCTTAGTGAGACCATCTCAAAATACAAAGGGCTAGAGATGTAGCTCAGTGGTAAATAGCCCTTGGTTTTCAATTCCTACTCTGGGGGGGGGGGGGGAGCATGCTCCATTACTACCAGTAAAATACCTTTATAGTATACAAAGTATTTTCAATCCCTTAGATTATAATTCTCACAATCCTGGGGGTGTGAAGGGAAGATGTTATATTATATCCATTATATAAAGATTATACAATTACAGAGCAGCAAAGTGACTTGTGAGATCATACAGCTAGAAAGTCAGATAGTGATCCAACCCTGAATCTGCAGCATAAATTTTGCAGTGCATTATGCCATCTCTAACCACTGAGCAAAACTGAAAAGACCATCAATACCTGTTCAGTAAGTAATATGGAAACATTGCTGTATTTCTTATTGGTTTCAGACCCCAGTGAGGCCAGGCGCAGTAAAAAAAGTAATAAAGCTGTTTCCCAAATCAAAAACTCCCAGTTATAAGCATCGTTTAGGAAAGTTTTATGTCCTTGGAGAACCTATAAAAAGACCCAAGAAAAATTCAGTTTTTAATTTGACTTAAAATCATATAATTACTCCTTTTTTAATTTTAAAACATTTTAAAGAGTTCAATATTTTAATACTTAGAATTCATTATTTCGATCCTCATAAAGTATTTTCTATTCAACTAACCATATATATTTCTTTAAAGTTTCCTAGATACTTTTCCTTTTCATGAAAGACAGCAAGGGTCTAACAGTAACAAAGGAGAAAAACATAATACAGTAGGTAAAACAAGACAGATGCATTTGCAGCTACCTTAACCACCACTGCCCACTCACAAGTATTTGGTAACCATTGTTCAAAGTATTAAATCTGCATCATGTCTAATGAGCTCCCCAAAATGTGTGATCCATCACACTGGTATTACTAGGAAATCCTAAGAATCAGTTCTGCATTCCAAATAATAGCAGCAGAATCTGTAATTTATTGGGTGCCTATAATGTGTCGGGTTGTTTGTTTTCTTTTGTTTTTATGGTTCTGGGGATGAAACCCAGGCCTTGCTCATGCTGGGCAAGCACTCTGTCACTGAGCTGCATCCCAAGCCCTTATACATCAAGTTTTCTGATGAAATTTTTATTGTTTTTAAAATTTCTTTTAAAAGTAATTTACCCAAGTAAGTCCAAGGCAAAATAATTTATTGAAAAGTATACAGAGAACTCAGAGAAATCAAATGCAAGCTTTTGAAAGAGAGGAAGTCACCCAGCAGCTGCCCTCTCCATCTTTCCCCGCTTAGAACCAGTCAAGCTCCCATCTACACCTCTTGACCAATTCCATGGCCTTACAAGACTCGTATTTTCTGCTTCCCCATTAACTCTGGCTTAAGCCAACTTTGGCAACTTTGTTTGTCTAGCACCTTACCCACTGACCCCTTCTGACCTTTATTCTCCAAAATCCATCACTGATATCTCAGGTTCTTAGCTCTAATTTCCAAAACAAAGAATACATTTAGCTCAGTCTGGGTCAGGCTCATCCATGACAACTGGTTGTAACTAGAAGGAGGAAAGTAACAACTAGTAGCAAAATATGCCTACCTGTTCAGAAAGGATACACTATTTGTTGCACAACAATAGATAATTAATATACAAATCATTAACAAGCTGCTACAAAATCAAACATGAAGAAAAATTATTAAAATAAGCCAGAGAAAAAGAACATTTATTTATTTTAATTTTTTATTGTTGGTTGTTCAAAACATTACATAGTTCTTGATATATCATATTTCACACTTTGATTCAAGTGGGTTATGAGCTCCCATTTTTACCCCATATACAGATTGCAGAATCACATCAGTTACACATCCATTGATTTACATATTGCCATACTAGTGTCTGTTGTGTTCTGCTGCCTTTCCTATCCTCTACTATCCCCCCTCCCCTCCCCTCCCCTCCCCTCTTCTCTCTCTGCCCCCTCTACTGACATTCATTTGTCCCCCTTGTATTATTTTTCCCTTTCCCCTCACTTCCTCTTGTATGTACTTTTGTATAACTCTGAGGGTCTCCTTCCATTTCCATGCAATTTCCCTTCTCTCTCCCTTTCCCTCCCACCTCTCATCCCAGTTTAATGTTAATCTTCTCATGCTCTTCGACCCTACTCTGTTCTTAGTTACTCTCCTTATATCAAAGAAGACATTTGGCATTTGTTTTTTAGGGATTGGCTAGCTTCACTTAGCATAATCTGCTCTAATGCCATCCATTTCCCTGTAAATTCTATGATTTTGTCATTTTTTAATGCAGAGTAATACTCCATTGTGTATAAATGCCACATTTTTTTTTTATCCATTCGTCTATTGAAGGGCATCTAGGTTGGTTCCACAGTGTTGCTATTGTGAATTGTGCTGCTATGAACATCGATGTAGCAGTGTCCCTGTAGCATGCTCTTTTTAGGTCTTTAGGGAATAGACTGAGAAGGGGAATAGCTGGGTCAAATGGTGGCTCCATTCCCAGCTTTCCAAGAAATCTCCATACTGCTTTCCAGATTGGCTGCACCAATTTGCAGTCCCACCAGCAATGTACAAGTGTACCCTTTTCCCCACATCCTCGCCAGCACTTGTTGTTGTTTGACTTCGTAATGGCTGCCAATCTAACTGGAGTGAGATGGTATCTTAGGGTGGTTTTGATTTGCATTTCTCTGACTGCTAGAGATGGTGAGCATTTTTTCATGTACTTGTTGATTGATTGTATGTCCTCCTCTGAGAAGTGTCTGTTCAGGTCCTTGGCCCATTTGTTGATTGGGTTGTTTGTTCTCTTATTGTCTAATTTTTTGAGTTCTTTGTATACTCTGGATATTAGGGCTCTATCTGAAGTGTAAGGAGTAAAGATTTGTTCCCAGGATGTAGGCTCTCTATTTACCTCTCTTATTGTTTCTTTTGCTGAGAAAAAACTTTTTAGTTTGAGTAAGTCCCATTTGTTGATTCTAGTTATTAACTTTTGTGCTATGGGTGTCCTATTGAGGAATTTGGAGCCCGACCCCACAGTATGTAGATCATAGCCAACTTTTTCTTCTATCAGATGGCGTGTCTCTGATTTGATATCAAGCTCCTTGATCCATTTTGAATTCACTTTTGTGCATGGCGAGAGAAAGGGATTCAGTTTCATTTTGTTGCATATGGATTTCCAGTTTTCCCAGCACTATTTGTTGAAGATGCTATCCTTCCTCCATTGCATGCTTTTAGCCCCTTTATCAAATATAAGATAGTTGTAGTTTTGTGGATTGGTTTCTGTGTCCTCTGTTCTGTACCATTGGTCCACCCGCCTGTTTTGGTACCAGTACCATGCTGTTTTTGTTACTATTGCTCTGTAGTATAGTTTGAAGTCTGGTATCGCTATACCGCCTGATTCACACTTCCTGCTTAGCATTGTTTTTGCTATTCTGGGTCTTTTATTTTTCCATATGAATTTCATGATTGCTTTCTCTATTTCTACAAGAAATGTCGTTGGGATTTTGATTGGCATTGCATTAAACCTATGGAGAACTTTTGGTAATATCGCCATTTTGATGATGTTGGTTCTGCCTATCCATGAACAGGGTATATTTTTCCATCTTCTAAGATCTTCTATTTCTCTCTTTAGGGTTCTGTAGTTTTCATTGTATAAGTCTTTCACCTCTTTAGTTAGGTTGATTCCCAAGTATTTTTTTTTTTTTGAAGATATTGTGAATGGAGTGGTTGTCCTCATTTCCATTTCAGAGGATTTGTCGCTGATATACAGGAATGCCTTTGATTTATGCGTGTTGATTTTATATCCTGCCACTTTGCTGAATTCATTTATTAGCTCTAATAGTTTCTTTGTAGACCCTTTTGGGTCTGCTAGGTATAGAATCATGTCATCTGCAAATAGTGATAATTTAAGTTCTTCTTTTCCTATTTTTATGCCTTTAATTTCTTTCGTCTGTCTAATTGCTCTGGCCAGTGTTTCGAGAACTATGTTGAACAGAAGTGGTGAGAGAGGGCATCCCTGTCTTGTTCCAGATTTTAGAGGGAATGCCTTCAATTTTTCTCCATTCAGAATGATGCTAGCCTGAGGCTTAGCATAGACTGCTTTTACAATATTGAGGTATGTTCCTGTTATCCCTAGTTTTTCTAGAGTTTTGAACATAAAGGGATGCTGTACTTTGTCGAATGCTTTTTCCGCATCTATCGAGATGATCATATGGTTCTTATTTTTAAGTCTATTGATGTGGTGAATAACATTTATTGATTTCCGTATATTGAACCAGCCTTGCATCCCAGGGATGAATCCTACTTGATCATGGTGCACAATTTTTTTGATATGTTTTTGTATCCGATTAGCCAGAATTTTATTGAGGATTTTTGCATCTAGGTTCATTAGAGATATTGGTCTGTAGTTTTCTTTCTTTGAAGTGTCTTTGTCTGGTTTAGGTATCAGGGTGATGTTGGCCTCGTAGAATGAATTTGGAAGTTCTCCCTCTTTTTCTATTTCCTGAAGTAGCTTGAAAAGTATTGGTATTAGTTCCTCTTTAAAGGTTTTGTAAAACTCTGCTGTATACCCATCCGGTCCTGGGCTTTTCTTAGTTGGTAGTCTTTTGATGGTTTCTTCTATTTCCTCAATTGATATTGGTCTGTTTAGGTTGTCTATATCCTCCTGACTCAATCTGGGCAGATCATATGACTTAAGAAATTTATCTATGCCTTCACTATCTTCTAATGTATTGGAGTATAAGGATTCAAAATAATTTTTCATTATCTTCTGTATTTCTGAAGTGTCTGTTGTGATATTGCCTTTTTCATCCCGTATGTTAGTAATTTGAGTTCTCTCTCTTCTTCTCTTCGCTAGCATGGCTAAGGGTCTGTCGATTTTGTTTATTTTTTCAAAGAACCAACTTTTAGTTTTGTCAATTTTTTCAATTGTTTCTTTTGTTTCGATTTCATTAATTTCAGCTCTGATTTTCATTATTTCTTGCCTTCTACTTCTTTTGCTGTTGTTTTGCTCTTCTTTTTCTAGGATTTTGAGATGAAGTATGAGATCATTTATTTGTTGGTTTTTTCTTTTTTTAAGCAATGAATTTTCCTCTTAGAACTGCTTTCAATGTGTCCCATAGATTCCGATATGTTGTGTCTGTGTTTTCATTTATCTCTAAGAATTTTTTAATTTCCTCCTTGATGTCTTCTATAACCCATTGATCATTCAGTAACCTATTGTTCATTCTCCAAGTGATGTATGCTTTTTCCTTCCTTCTTTTATCGTTGATTTTCAGTTTCATTCCATTATGATCAGATAAGATGCATGGTATTATCTCTACTCCTTTATATTGTCTAAGAGTTGCCCTGTGACATAATATGTGATCTATTTTTGAGAAGGATCCATGTGCTGCTGAGAAAAAAGTGTAACTGCTTGATGTTGGGTAGTATATTCTATATATGTCAATTAAGTCTAGGTTATTAATTGTGTTATTGAGTTCTATAGTTTCCTTATTCAACTTTTGTTTGGAAGATCTGTCCATTGGTGAGAGAGGTGTGTTGAAGTCTCCCATGATTATTGTATGGTGGTCTATTAGACAAAAATATGGAACGCTTCACGAATTTGCGTGTCATCCTTGCGCAGGGGCCATGCTAATCTTCTCTGTATCGTTCCAATTTTAGTATATGTGCTGCCGAAGTGAGCACAAGAACATTTATTTTTAAAGACCAGCAATAAGGCTAACAACTTTCAGCACACATATAATCCCAGCAGCTCAGAAAACTGAAGCAGGAAGATTGCAAGTTCAAGGCCAGCCTCAGCAACTTCAAGCAATCTCAAGAACCTGTCTCATAATGGGCTGGGAATGTAGCTCAGTAGCTCAGGGGTAAGGTGCCCCTGGATTCAATCCCCAGTACAAAAAAAAAAAAACTAACTAAAATTAGAAGATAGGGAATCCTAAAAACACAGGAAGAAACTAATTGGCAACCTATAATCCTTTCCCAGTAAATAATATCCTTCAAAAATGAAAGTGATAAAAGATATTTTAAATAAGCAAAGACAGAGAGCTCATCACCAGCAGACTGGTACTAACATAAATTGCAAAGAAGTTATTCAAAGAGGGAGAAAATAATCCTAGAGAAACACAGAAATATAAGAAGTAATGAAAATAATAAATATGTGAGTATATAAATTGACTACATGAAAAAAAAGTAATCACATTTTTGGGGTTCAAAATATATATAAAATTAAAATAATGGACAATAATACAAAAGATGAAGGAGTAAATGATATAAAGTATTCCAAGGTTTAGCACTATCAAGGAAGCTATAATTAATCATTTTATTGGACTCCTTTTATTAGACTTCAATAAATTAATCTCTCATATTACTAAACATTAATACATTAATGGAGAGAATTAAATGGAATATTAAGGAATATTTGATTAGTAAAAAGATGACAAGAGGGGAGAAAAAGGAAAATTAACAGGTGGATCAAACAGATACCAAATAGTATCTGTAGTCACAGTAATCATGTGAAGTTTTAGTGGGCCACATAAATCCAAACACTGTGAGGCTGGATTAAGACAAAAGCAACCAGAAAAGAAAATGCTAATCACAGAGACACACACCTAGAATGTGAGACTCCCAAAATGAACATAGATAGGTAAAAATATAAAATATAAAACAACCAAAACACAGCTGATGTAGTTAATACCAAATCAAGCAGAAATATTAGAAATGGAGACATTCTGTAGGGTCACAGAAGGAAAAAAAAAAAAAAAGAAAATGCCTAACACTTTTCCAGATTAAAGAGGCTGCAGAGACATGACAACTAAATGCAATATGTGCCTCTGAATTGGATCCTGGATTCAGGAAAAATCAATAGTAAAAACAACATCTATAAATAGGACATAAACATCAATCCACAAATAAGATGGCTAATAATTCTAAATCTGGACATACCCATTACAGCCTCAAAGTACATAAAGCAAATATGGACAGGAATAAAAGGAAAATCAGACAGACAAATCCACAACGAATCATAGTTGACCTGAACATTCCTCTACTGACAGACGATAGAAGAAGCAAACCAAAAAATGCGTAAGGACAGAGACAACGTGAGCAATGCAACTAAAACTTGGGCTGAAGGACTAATTGACTTCAAAATTACCTGTATATTCATTTCAAAAACACTAGAAAAATTAACAAGTATCCAAAATCACAAAAGACATGTGGACATATTTAAAAATGTATACTTAAATACAGGATGACCTGGTTTAAAAAAGAAAATGAACCCTATAATAGAATTTCATTTTTCATTAAATCAGATATGAAACTTTTACCTGGGCACAACAAATAAAAGCAATTGAAAGTGTCAATAAGAAGACGGAAGATACAACCACATCAACTGAACGCTGTGGACCCCGTCTCTGTGGAGAAAGACACATGGTAATGTTTTAGATTACTGTCAGACAGCCACAGCCCTCACAACATTAAAACCCTGAATTTTACCACATAAGAAGTTTCTTTTCGTTTTTTTTCCCCAAGATTTGTGATTGTTTTTAATTATCTTAAATTTTACAGTCACATAATTTGCAAATTTGTACTAATGTTATATATCCTTTACTTTAATCTTTCCATTTAATGAGTTGGCAAAAAGCACCACTACCAACCACACATACACAGATGTTCCATAGTATTGTGTTTTTGAATAATTGTTTAAAGACACCCTAAATTATAACTTAGTCTTAGAAAGTAAAGAATTAAAAAGTAAAGTCTACATTGCTATTGTATTGTGCTGACTTCAAAGCATCTGAACTTACAGATCAACTATAAAATGTGAGAAGTATTAAATATTCTTTATTTAACATTATACATAAACCACACTAAAATGCCTTTCCATAAGGAAAAGATAGCATTTTAGATACAGGGAATTCTAATTAAATTGGCATGGTCAACAAAAATATACAGTAGACACTGCTTCCTACACAAGAAGTTTCTGACACAGGATTTTTAATATACTTTGGGCATCATCAATTCAAACAATGAAACCCATGCCTTCCCATACTAAGAGGTTACCTGATTCATTCACACAATTTTAGTTGTAATATATCCCCAAAAGTCAGAAAGACATGCAATATTTATTACTCTTCCCTAGGAAACTTAAATTTTCTCTTCCCTTTCTGAGTCTTTATTTTACCCCCAGCAGTTTCACCAACACATCCATCCAACTTGGTACCCGAAAGTCTTGGCTACTGATATAATCTGTTCAATACCCAGAACTATACTGCCCAAGGAGCTGCTGCTAGAAACTTCATTGAACACATTCTCTTGTGTATTCCTGCATATATTCTATTGTTAATCAAATAAAACTCACCTTTAGATAGGAACGCAGTGATAGCCATATTTTAATGTTCTCCACCTTTTTAAGTCTGAAATGAGGTATTTCATATTTCCTAGCTTTCCTGGCAGAAGTAATATGGCTGAAGAGTTTTGCAAATAAAAATCTCTAGAGGAGGTTAAAAAAATCAGAGTGAAATATACAAATATATCTCTGCATGCATATTTATATAAGTGTCAACAATATTTTTGAAATCTTTAAATGTTAAAAACAATGAAATTTTTATCAGTGACCACTAAGATGGGCAACGAAAAAAACGTCATTAATAGCTCAATTACCCTGTCTCATTCAAAGCACATTATATAACAAAATACCACTCTATAAATTGGTATACTCTTGACATTCACAAGGAATATTCTTTGGAGACTATTGGTAAATCCTCAACTTCACGAACTCAAGTGTTTGTACATTATTCTGGCTTATTTCCAAATAGTATTTCCATACAAAATCACATTTCTTGTGCATATCACCAATATAATAACTCCTAAGTCCACAACTATAAACTGTCAATAACACAAACGTTAAACCCATATATACCAAAATCAGGAGAACAAATCTCAATGGAATATCACACACAAAAACAGAGGTACGAAATTTTATGTACTTGTTCACTGACCTGTTTATATGTTCTCTCTGCCACACACATCATGAAAAAAAACATCCAAGTAAGACACAATCTTTCAAAAAAATTAATTATAGACAAAACAACAATAGGTGTAACAGGTGGTGCTCCACAAAAGAGAGTCAAGATCTCCTCAGCTGAAATGGACTTCAGTTGGTCAAAGCTCTTCTCATGGAAAAGTCGATGTAAAAAAGGAAAAAATGCTAATCCAATGGTGACGACATTCCCCAGCATTTGATAACCTACTCCTTGCTGATATGCATTAACCTGGAAATTAATTTAACATTCCATTATTATTGCATAGTGAAATGAAGTTATGAAGTATTTATCAAATGCTATTTAAAACAAAAGTATTTCAAAAGAAGTACAAATAAAAATGGAATACATTTGGGCTAGGGAATGTAAACCCAATGGCACAGCACATGCTGAGCATGCATGAGGTCCTGGTTCAATCCCCAGCACCAAACAAAACAAAACAAGACATGGATTTACGACTTATTACCAATTAGGCTCAAATGAGATAAGGAATATTTGTAGAGCACACCTGAACAACTGACCATGCTGAGAATATGTAACAAAAACTACTACCATGCTGGGCACAGCAGCACACACCTATAATCCCAGCCACTCAATCCCAATCCCAGGCTGAGGCAGGAGGATCATGAGTTCAAAGCCAGCCTTAACAACTTAGTGAAGCCCTAAGCAACTTAGTGAGATCCTGTCTTGAAATAAAATACAAAAAGGGCTGGGAATGTGGCAAAAAAGGTTAATAAACACTTCTGGGTTAAATCACCAGTACTAAAAATAAATAAATAAAATAAAAACCACCACCAAGTAAAGACTGACTACAAAATTAAAACTATATATCTGTGTTTCAAAAGCAGAGTCACAAGGCTGGGGTTACAGTTCAAAGGCAGAGTGCTTGCCTAGAATGTATGAGGCCCCGGATTTAATCCCAGCATCACAAAAGAAACAACAAAAAAGACCACTCATATTGTTTTATCACCAAGTAGATTCCTATGAAATAGCTGACCCCTAAGTAGTTTTTCTTGAAAATTTATTTTCTCTTACCCTGCTCATGATGATGCCACTTATTTCCAATACAGACATATCCATCTTCTTGCACTCATTTCCTTCCCAGATTATTGCACTAACTCGATCAGAAGCAGGACTTGAGTTCTGAAGCCAGAATAAATGGTTCTGGGAGGAAAAATATAAAATTGTTTCCAACCACTCCTCCTGTCATTAGTTTTTCTTACCCTCAGTCCAGCTCCCAGGCTATACTAAGCAATGGTCAGGCTCATCAGTCTATCTTCTCTTACAAAGCTCATCACTTCAATAACCACCTATATGATGAAGATTTCTGGTTATGTTTTCTTTACTAAACCATTTTTTTTGTCTGGGAGAGGCTAATTGTCTTCTATAATGAGGAGTGGTAGGATTCCTCGATTTCCAAGGTTGCTTCCCTCTCTAAAGGTAAGCCAGTGAGGCAGAGCTTAATGCATTCAAGGGTTGCAAAGGAAGAAGGTATGTCTAGAGCAACCAGATTACAGTGGGAGCAGCAGTAAGTACAGTAGGGGAGGTGCTAGGAGCCTTACAGACAACACGAATAACTGAGGACTCAAGCCTTTCTCTAGTCTAACTAGGACACAGAAAAGAACAAAGCACTTGAGCTCAAAAGGAGACAGCCACAAAGAAAACAGACCCCATCCTCCTCTGTCAGAGCATGTCCTGTTCTCCGGTACCAGATCAAGCACAATTTTACCAATTCGGTCCTCTCAACAATCACGCGCCTTACTAATTTTTCCCTTCTTCAAAATTAAAAATGCTTATAGTCTGTATGAGATAAATTAGCATCTAATTATACAATGCTTTTATAGCATCCTCTACTTATTTCCTATATAATCATTGTGTCCCCAAACTAAAATATAAGTTTCCAGAAATGGACCACATGGTATATTTGTTCTCTGTCATGATGCTTAGCATAATGCTGATTAGCATGTATTGATTTTATTCATTGATTCATTGATTTATCCAACAAATATTTATTAAGCACTTACTATGTAACTCTGGATACAACAGAGAACAAGATGCATGTCCTTGCTATTGAGAAGCATAAGGGCTTCTGAAGGAGACATAATTAAAGTCCCTTTAACAGGATGGTAAAGAAAGGAAAGAGTAAGGAAAGGTTTCCTGAAGAGATGTGTCATTCCCGTCAAGACCTGTCTGAAAAACAAAAAGGAGTGGGTGCAGTGGCACATGTCTGTAATTCCAGTTTCTCAGGAGGCTGAGGCAGGAGGATCCCAAATTCAAGGCCAGCCTCAGCAACTTAGTGAATCTGTCTCAAAATAAACAAACAGGGCTGGAAATATAGCTCAAGGGACGAGTGCACCTGGATTTACTCCCCAATACTGAAAAAAAAAAAAAGGTAAAAAAAAATTAAAAAGAGTGAGTCCAGGAATGGGTATTAAAGAAGAACGTGTCCCAAGAAAAGAAAAGCCATATGTGTAAAGACCAAAGCACACAAGAGCAGGAATTTATCAGAAATGGAAAAGAGTTCAGTTGAGTTAAGGAACACCATGTGAGGGCTGGGGCTGTAGCTCAGTGGTACAGTGCTTGCCTCGCACATGTGAGGCACTAGATTTGATCCTCAGCACCACAGAAAAATAAACAAATAAATAAAACAAAGGTATCGTGTCCACCTACATCTAAGAAAAAACATTTTAAAAAAAAAGGAACACTATGTGAACAGCAGAAAGGGTTAGAGATCAGACTATATTAGAATAAATAAAGGAACAGAAACCTAAAAGGAATAAAAAACGATTTTAAGGAAAGTGGTGTTATTAGATCTGAATTGCAGAAGCATCACTGGCTGTAATGAGGAAAATGAAAGAAAGTGGGATGCGGGCAGCTAGAGAAGCCGCTATGAGGATGGAGATGAGAGAACAGGTGGACACAAGCACACAGATATTCAGATGGTGAGACCTGAGGTGACTGATTACGGGTGCAGACAGTGGGATCTAGAATGTCTCTGACGCTTTGCTTTGGGTAGTTCAGAAACATCAGGGGAGGGAAAAAAAAAAAAGTTTGTTGGTGGGAACTGGGAAATGATGAATTCTTTCTGACATAGTTGAGTTTATCTCTCACAATTATTCTTTGATGTGTCTTAGACGCTATGTGCTACTACTGAGGGTCCATGTGATTTAGATGAGCCTTTAGAATGAATGTGTAGAACATTTACAGTCAAACTGATAGAAAGCTTAGAAAAAGCAAGATTTAAATGAATGCTATTTCTGGTTAGATTTTTAAAAATTGTACACATTTAATTAAGTGAATTTTTTGCTTATTTGTTTCCAGTACTGGGAATTGAATTCAGGGGTGCTCCACCACTGAGCTATATCTCCAGCCCTTTTTATTTTTTACTTTGAGACAGGGTCTCACTAAGCTACTGAGACTGATCTAAAACTTGCAATCCTCCTCACTTAGTCACCCAAGTCACAGGGATTGTAGAGGTGTAACACTGTGCCCAGCCTGAAGCAGGATTTTGGGCGTTGTATTGGGCAGGGACGGTGGGTAGAGAAGGACAGAATGTATGTAAACTAAACCAATGGTATCTTAGGATCAAGAAAATTCAATAATTAAACAAATGTATATCTATCATCCACTGCTATTTGATAGGCAATGTGAAAACATTAAGGCAAAAGAACCAACAAAATTAAGAAGCATAACCACTATCATTAAACATCTGAAAGGGTGATCTGAAAACCTCTTCTTGACCATTCATCTATCCAGCAGTGGCACAGGCTGTCTCAGGACACAACAAGCATCCAGCTCCAGATGTTTTAAAGCAGAGACTGACTGTCCATATGATAGGGATGTTCATAACGATACTAACATTTAGTGGGTTGTACTCTTGCCAGGCACTGTGCCAAGCACTTTATCTCACAATATTCCTAAGAAGTAAGAACTATTATCACCATGTGACAAATGGTAGGAAAAAAATATTTTTCTACAGATATGGGATGAATGCCTGGATTGAATATCTTCTAAGAGTGCTCTCAAATTTGAGAATTATTTGATTTTATGATTAATATAAAACATGAAATTAAAAGCACCTCTTGATTCATGCATTACTAGAGAAGGAAATGATGCCATTTCCTAATAATTCATATCTTTTATTACAATGTTTTTGAAAATATAGCACAAGGCAGACATGCTGATCAAACAACCCTTCTTATATAAAATGAATATTAACAATCACTCAAAGAAAATAATAAAAACTGAGTTTGGGCCAACTCTGAAGTATTTTCCTTGAGTTTTCATCCCAACACCATCATGTTTAAGCTGTGTTCAATTTCCGAACTGGGTATTACTGTATAGGATTACTCTGAAGTTAAGTGAGACTATGCAGTGCCTGACACATGGTAAGTACCTAATAAACATCAGTTATTATGATTACTGCTTTCACACACCTGCTGGAAAACATCTTCTTTGGGGTCACGTTTGGTCCCTGAGTGAAGGGTATTCACATGGGCCCCCTCACTGTCACTGGTGACAGATGACCGACACTCTGGGCCATGCAGCAGGTCATCCCATAACATATCCTCAGTCTCTGAGTCATGGCGGGTGCTTTCTGAGTCTCTTCTTGACAAGTTGAGGCTTCGAGAGCCACCACTCACACCAGATCTAGAGCACTTAAAATGAAAATTTAAAAAAAAAAATTTTCATTCATTTTTAAAAACAATCATATATCTGAAATAAAGTTAAAACAAGTTATCTATGGCAATGGCTGTCAAGCTTCCATGAGCCGATCGCCTTATATTCATTCACTCACAAGGAGTCATATAATACATTTTAACATTTCAGTGTTAAAACTCTGATGACCCAGTAAGCAGGACCTTAAAAGAACTCTAAGAAGTCATTACCAAGTCATAGGACTGTTCAACTCAGTCATCCTGGGGTGGGAATGACTCCTGTGTGCCCACCCAGTGGGCCTGCCCGATGGGGTTGGCTGAGCCTTTTGACACACTGGGTATGCCTTACTCTAATCATCATAAGCTTAATTGTAGACCTAGTCGTGTCCAGGGGCCCAATCCCAACATGTTAAAGCATAATCGAGCAGAGGAAAGCAGATGATGCTACTCTCCTGCAGTTACAAACATAAATGAGAGGTTTTTCCATGAGCCCAATTGTCTTGTCCATCAAAAGAAAAAAAAAAAAAAAAAAAACACATCACCATCTACTCTGCTCACCTCTGAAATCATATTCCAAATATCCCTATTAGCTTCCTTGATGAAAATTGTTTCACTGCTCCCATCTTTCTTTGAGAAAGGAAAGAGATCCTTTCTCAAAAACCTGATCTTAACAGTGTTGACCCCACTTAAGAATAAACTTCACATTTCAAAAAAATACTAAGTAATCTCATCACGAAGGGATTGAGTACCTTTTTTTGAGCATCATCATGATCCTTTTTAAATCAGACTCAAAGTGAAAAAGAATGCATTCTCTTTCTAGGGGTGAATAGTCATCTAAAAGTCGCTAGATAAATCGGTGGATAATTAGAAACGGGGGAAGGTTAGGCACACATAAACACTACTTTAAGGCAACCCACAAAAAAGGGAATGAATAATTATTACACACAAGAATACACCTTGAGTTCTGATCTCTCGAAGGATGCTTTACCTGGCTGAAGGCTGCTGATTCAAATTCTGATTCAGCCACACTATCTGAATCTCGTACTATATGACACCACCTTGTAGTGGTTTTCTTTACCTAAAAAAAACCAAACCAACAAACAACTAGAAAACATGTTAAACACCTTGTTACTATTCAATGATTTAGGAATAAACTCCTTTTCTTTTTTTATGAACAAAAATGAAAATTACCTGAGAGTTTAGGTGCTTTGAAAGTATTGATTTTCTATTCTTAACTTCACAGCCATTGTCACTTGAGGCCCCTTCCACACTCCTCCGCAACAGTATCATCTGTGTCCGTGCTTCTTCACCATCCTCCTCGCTTGACAGATCATCTGAAATCCCATTACCCAAACGCCTGTAAGCCTCCTACAAAGAGAACAGCAATGCCTTCACAGGGGACAGCCCGAAAGACACTAGTAAGTTGCACATGCAAAAACAAAAAACGTGTATCAACTACCAAGCAGTAAAAGTAAACAAACCAAAACTAAACAGCCTAGATAATGAGGCAGTGCTGAGCCGTAGTTAGAATGCAAGATCAGGTCAAACTCCAAGCCCCAGTCCCAGCGCTTCCACTTACTAGCTATGTAACCTCTGGCAATTTGCTACATACCTCTGGGACTCAGTTTCCTCATCTGAAAAGTAATGATAATAAAAGCACCTATCTCACAGGGTTACTGAAAAAAGGGAAGTAAAGCGCTTAGAACAAGGCTGAGCTGTAGCAATGACTCAATAGATATTAGACTAAATGCCACAGTCTAAAAGACAAGAAAACAATTCAAGATTGTAGAGTAAGTGTAGTTAGTTATAGACACAGAGCAAACCACCTACTCCTACACCTAGAAAGCAGTTTCCCAAGCCCTCACTATACAATCACTGCCTCTCTGGAATATGACACAGCAACCTCTTCATTAATCTGTTCATTAAATCAATATTTTCTTTCTCATAACCTGTGGCTTTACCACTTGTTAGGACAAACTTACAAATCTCCTAGTGTCTATTTTGTATCATTAGCAAAGTCTAAGAATAGGAATATCTTACACAGGGAAAAAAATATTTTGTTATACCTATCTAGATCTTACCCTACGGCACTTGTCTCCATCTGCCAATTTTGTTTTCTCTCTTGTTTGCCACATTTTCATATCTGGTCGACACTGTCTCTTCTTCATGATAGGATGGAGACAACTGGCGTCATTGTCATTGTCGGTCTCAGTTCCTTTGTTAGGTATTAATTTTACCCTTTTAATCCTATTTTTAAAAGGGAAAAAAAGGGGGCTGGGGATATAGCTCAGTTGGTAGAGTGCTTGCCTCACATGCACAAGGCCCTGGGTTCAATCCCCAGTACCACACACACAAAAAAAAAAAAAAGAGGGAAAAACATCTTAGTAACTATTTTTCTGAGAGTAACATAATTCATGAAATTACTTTCTTCCTAGGAGAACAACATATTACTTTGGAAATAAAAAAAATTCATAAAATATATTTTCTAGCTTTCAAAGGGTATAAAATAACCAACTTTTCACTCAGAGACACAGAAAATATGAATCTCTTCATGGCAACAGAAAAGTGTAAACTTTTAGTTTTGCTAGGAAGTAGGTGCACAGTCCTCTCCACTTATCCTTCTAAACACAATGCCACCTCCTACCTCATATTGCCTGTTAATGCTTCATAGAAGATTTGTCTCTTTTATGTCCATTTTCAGAAAAACCACCCAAGCTTCAAAACCCAGCGACTCAACTCCCTCATCACTTCTGCTAACTGCTTTACCCCAGAATAATAATTCCATTTGTAAGCTACACAGTCATGTAATCATTTGCTAAGCTACATGTCAGCATGCAGTCATTCACAATATTCTTACATTGCACCATACCTGCTACTCTTACCTTCCTAATTAGACAGTAAAATCACTGAGAATAGGATGGCACAGTGCCTCGTACAGAATCCAGCACCAAGAACTCAAACACTCTAAACTAAAGGGTATAAATATGTCTTTAGAAAAAGATGTGAACATACTTCATGTTCAAAAAGGAACTGTGAAATAACTTAAAATCCTATCATTTATATATGATAAAATAAGTATTTCTCTGAGTCATACTAGTGCAATCCAGACATGCAAAATTACAAATGGGGTAAAACTGTCTTTAATCCATTTGCTTTTTTGTCCTACAGGCTCCTGTGCTGCATCTCACACAAACCTGATCCTTTTAAATTCCTTTTTCTCTCAAGATGTTGGCTGATATGGCTTAAAATATTAACTTTTCAGAGTATTTATACTTTTGTAATCTTGTGGTCTAAAAAACCATTAAAATCAAATAAAATGAAACTTTAATGGTAGATTACTGGATTTACAGGTATCATGAAAGACATTGCAGATAACATTTTGAGTAGGCTAATCCTTCTAGAACACTTAAAAATCACAGCGCAAAGATAACATGCCTATACTACTTACTCCTATGGCTAAATTGTATTATATAGCCTATAAACACTATTCACTATGTGAATGCAGAATCAAGTAAAAATTCTAATGCAAGACTCCCACCTGTTGCCAAAGAGAGTCCCCCAAAAACCACCAATAATAGGCGCAGATTCTGAAGTTTCTAGTCCTCTGGCTTTATCAGAGAAGTTACTTCCATTTTCTCGGCTTCCATCACCATTTACAGTTTTTCGTAATTTTCTACAAAAAAACATTTTTCCACAGTTTCAGATTATTCAAGAGCTTTTCCATTTATACCCATAATATCAATATAGAAAATTATGCTAACAGATGATTCCCTGAAATCAGGGTAATTACTTTCATATACTGAGTATAAATTATATAAGAACCTTTATTTATTTATTAGTTGTAGGTGGACACAATATCTTTATTTCATTTTTATGTGGTACTGAGGTTTGAACCCAGTGCCTCATGTGTGGTAGGCGAGCACTCTACCACTGAGTCACTACCCCAGTCCAAGAACATTTCTTTTTTAAGGATAAAAACAGATTCAAAACTAAAGTACTATGCTATCATTTTGTTTAGTCACAAAGAAAACATTTTTTCACATGTCAGGACCAAGAGTCTTATCAGACACACAATAGCAGAAAAGCCATTTCTATAAATATGGATGTTAGAAAACTAACATCCTTTTGCACATTTAATCAGGACAACACTAACAATAGTTAATTGATATATTCTACAAATACCAATGAGATAAAGCACAAGGACATGTTGGGCTAGGGTATACTTTAGAGTGTTTACCTCGTGTGCATAAGGCTCTGGGTTTGATCCCTAGCACCACAAAAAAAGGGATGGTGGAATAAGAAAACGTTGTAATCCATTGTACCAAATGGATTACTAAATAAATAAAAATAAGAAAAATCTTATTTAGTAATTTCTCAGGGAAGCAAAAACCTAGAGAGATCCTGAATATACTTAAGAAAACTTAAGCAGTTCCCTGCATATATCACATAGTAAAAACTTGACAAGAATTGAATGTGTAAAAAATTCAAATCAATTTTAATTAAAAGTTCAGACCACTTGAAATCAACTGTTACGCACTTTTGAAAAAAAAAGTAAAAAATTTGGTAGCACCAATCTAATGTACCGACATCCTTGTTGATAGTAAATTGTCAACAAATTCTGATTAAAGCCAAATTTCAAAGAGAATGCCTCCCCCCACCCCACAACACTGGGAATTTATCCAGGGCTTCATGCATATTAGACAAGTGCTCTGCCATTGAGCTACAACTCTAGCCCCAGAATGCTTTCTCAAAACCATTATTTAAAATAAACTTTAATAAGGAATAATACAGTTAGGAATTTTCCTTTTAAACAACTGTAGTAAATGATAAAATCCCACATGAGATTAAAAATTAATAAGATTTCTTAACCATCAGGAGAAAAGTGAATAAGCATTCATTTTTAAAAAGTCAAAAATTGGTGCAAAATATATAGAGAAGAGGGAAAAAATTTTTTAAATTAATTTAATCAAAATTTTATAACTCTCTACAATACCTCTCCCAGAAAATACATAACTACAGGGTAATTTCTCATCTTACCTTCTCCTCCGATTTCCATTGTTTCCAGATGGTCTTGTTATCTGAGTAGATACAATTTGACAGTGGACAGTTCCCATGAGTAGCATAAGGCACAAGGGTCCAAGAACTTCACTTACGTTCACAATAGGCATCATAAGATACAACACAATCCCTATAACTGGAAAGAGGTTTTAAAATGTAAAACATTAAGAGTTCATTTTTAAAATGCATACTAAGCAACTTAGCAAGACCCTGTCTGAAAATAAAAAATTTTTTAAAAAGTGCTGGGGATCAACTCTTGGATTCAATCCCTGATACCAAAAATAAGTAAAATGAATGCTACTATCTGTACAAACTATTTTTACAATCTATCATTTTAAAGAGAATTCAAAAGTAAATAACTTCCTGGAATACCATCCACCTGCTAAATATTAGCTTGGTGAAAATATGAAGCCATCAGTTGCCAAATAAATGAAGAATAACATATTGAAAGTATTTGCCTTTCTGGCAGCACAATCATCTATATATTCCAAAAGAGTTTCCACCACAGAACTGAAGGCTCCATAAAACATAAATTTTGCAGTGCTGTTCTGCTCAAAAAAGGTATACTCCAAGGCCCAAGGTTACAAAGAAAGCAATAAGCCAAGCTGGATTTGAACCCAGGCATTTGGGCTCCAGAATCTACCATCTTAACTACCATATTATATTGCCTCTTTGCATATGTATATGAAATGTTCAAAGAAATAAATAATGAAAGAAATAGGAAAACATAAAATACTATCTCTAAAATTCCATTTACAATTTTATAGACAAGTTCTTTCAGACTTTATCATAATAGTAATTCTTATGGGATACACAAATGAATACACAGTGGATTCAATACTTTTAATTACGGCTGAGTTTCCAAAAGAATGCTTTTTTCTTTTCTTTTCCTCCTACGAGTCCCAGTATTGAGGATCAAACCCACTAGCCCAACATACAATGATGTCATCAGAACAATCAACTACAGACTTTGCAATGTGGACATAAATTCACTTTTAAAAAGTGACTGTGTTCACTGACTGGCCTGGATTAGTACCTGGCACACAGTAGGCACACCAACATGAATTCTGATGGGGACTTGATCTTGGACTTTCTAGTCTCCAGAATTGCGAGAAACAAATTTCTGTTGTTTACATGCAACCCAGTCCAGGGTATTTTTGTTAAAAAAACCAAAATAGACTAAGACAGAAATTGGTATGGAAAAATGGGGACAGGGGCTACTATAACAAATACCTGAAAACATGAAGCAACTTTAGAACTGAGTTATGAATGGTTAGAGGTTCAAAGAGTCTTAAGAAACAGTCTAATGAAAAGCCTTGATCTCCAGAGAGATTTTTAAACAGTCTATAGAAAAGCCTTGATCTCCATAAAAGAATTTGGAAGGATCAGAAGGGAAAGAAGAAAATAATAGAAAAAGCCTTGACTTTCTTGGAGAATAATACCTAAGTAACCATGAAGAGAATGTTGGTACAATGTGGGGTACAGGCCATTCCAGTGAGGTATTAGATGGAAACAAGAAATAACATGTTATTGGAAAATGAAGGAAACAATCCTTGTTATAGAGCAGCAAAGAACTTCGATGAGCTATAATTGTATTCTGCCGTTTTGTGGAAGGCAGAATCTTCCAATGTCTTGATCTTGGACTTCCCAGCCTCAAAGCCATCAGAAATAAATTTGTGTTGTTTAAAAGCTACCTAGGCCATCATATCTTTGTTGTAGCAGGCTGAACATACTAAGGCAGAAAAGTTATGTAAATTATGGTATTATTATAATAATAAGTAGCTATAAAAAGGTGTTCGTAGTAAATGTTAATAGACTGCAATACAAACAGTAAACAGTACTATTAAATTATGGTATGTCCATATAGTAGAATATTATGCAACCATTAAAAAGATCATTAAAAGCAAATAAAATCAAAATCCAATTCTTTATTGACACTACATGTTGAGTACCTGTATCCACATGTGGTTAAGCAGCCGCTGTACTGGGTAGCACAGAGACAGAACATTTCCTTTATTAAAGAAACTCTAAGGGCAGGGGTTGTGGCTCAGAGTTATAGCGCTTGCCTAACATGTGTGAGGCACTGAGTTCACTCCTTACCACCACATAAAAAAATAAAGTTACTGTGTCCATCTACAACTAAAAATATTTAAAAAAATAAACTGTTGAACAACTATGTCAAACTTATAGATTTAAGATTCACATATATTTTTCCCTCTATAACTTAATGTTTTTTTAACTGGAAAGACAAAAGAAAATATAAGCACCCATAATTCCTTCATGTCACCCAACCTTCCCTTTATTATAAGTCATGTAACCACAGTCCAAAGAGCCCACTTTTTGAAAATATCTCTGGAATGCAATGTATACACTGAAGAGAGAACAGTGGGTTCAATCCTTGGTACCACATAAAAATAAATAAAGTAAAGGTGTTATATCCATCTACAACTGAAAAAAATTTTTTAAATAAAAAAATAATCATATGTTTGTTCTCTCAGAGCAAATTTTAAGATGATGCCCAAAATAGGTAAGTCCCTTCATTTCTTTGTACTTTCAACCATCAAATGAAAGGGTGACAGTAAGAACAATAGGTCTTCCTTCCATCACAGCAAAAGCAGCAAAAAAGAAACGGTCATAGTTTATTCCAGCTCTTCTAATTACCTTGCATGAGGTAAAGCAGTAGCAGCCAAACGAAGATTCTTAAGGAGGTGACCTGAATCCACCAATTGCTGAACAATGGGAAAAATACAACTCGAACAAGCCCCTTCCGAGTTAGAGACGTCCATGGAATTTCCGGTTTGGCTTTGGCAAATGTTGAGCCTTTAAACATACAATAAAACAAGAAATATTTATATACACTAGACTTTTGGCCTATTGTAGCACCACATCAAAAACTGGTGAGAGTGGGCTGGGGTGCTGGCTCAGTGGTAGAGCACTTGCCTACATTTGTGAGGCCCTGGGTTTGATCCTCAGCACCACATGTAAATAAATAAAAAATAAAGTTCTATCAACAACTAAAAAAAATATTAAAAAAAACAAAAACGGGTGAGAACACAACTTAGCACATAATCTGTTCAGTTCAAAAAAACTCGATGGTCATTAAATATAATAACTTCTTACCTCAGTCTCTAGGAAAGGATCTCAAAATAAGCCAGGTCACTTGAATGTTAAATAATATGTTTTTCTTAATTACACAACAGCAAGTCAACAAGTTCAACCCTCTTTCAACTTTATGAAAACATGTAATTTACAAAACCACCCAGTTCTAAGGCAAAGGGTAAAAAAAGATTAAAGTCCACAAAATGAGTAAAGAATTTTACTTAGAAATTGAAGTATACCATCAAATAGAGAAGGTATCTTAAACTAATCCATAGTTCCATTATGAAATAACATAACAACATGCACAAGAAACAAACTTACCTCTAATTAAGTCAACATCAATCAAGTCTGGCTTTATGTGACCCATCTTTTTTGGTTTATTTTTGAAGCCCTAAGATTAAAAAAAAAAAAACAGAAATAAAGAAAAAGGAGTCCTTTTAAGTACAAAAGATAAACTTATGTTTCTTTTTTCTTTTTCTCTATATTTGACAGCTTTTACTATAGACATTTTAATCCTAATGTTCCTTTAAGAAACTCATCATTAATGTTTTAGTTTTTAGTCGTATCAAATAATATACAAGCTTTTATCACTGTTAAAAGAATCAAACTATGCCCAAAAAATCAATAAGTGAAAAATAATCATGCCTTGAACTATCTCTCCTTTCCTCCCTTCTTTTTTTAGTTGTTTCTTTTTGTATTTTACTTCCGTAATTCTAATATATTCATATTCTTTAATTTACTGACTTTAAGAAATCATCTACTGACTTAATATAGTATGTGAGACTAAAGCTCTTAGACCACTAATCTCCACATCCTAATTTGTACCCCCAAAACATATATCCTTACAATATACTTGTTTGATTCTTAAAAATCATAATCAGTATTAATTGTATGATCACAGTTAAATATGTTCCCCACAAGCTATATTTTATATTCTTCCATTTGCTCTATAAGATCAGTTAAAATATTTGTCATTATCTAAATTTAAATAAATGCTAGAAAATTATCCAAATTTGAATAAATGCTAGAATTTATTTTTAAACAAATCCTCATACACCCTTCCCAAAGCCTTCTATCTTCCTGTTCCAATTAGACTAGTTAATTCCTCCCTGAGCCTGCTGCTCAGCTACAATCCCAGGTCTTCTCACTCTCATCCTGAGAGTTCCCTTCAACTTTCTCTGTGGTGAACCACATATTCCCCATATCTCATTCCCCCGACCCCGCCCAAGAGCTGGGGATCAAACCCAGGGTCTTATGCATTATAGGCAAGCTCTCTACCACTGAGCCACATCCCCAACCGTTTTTACTTTTCAGAGTCTTGCTAAATTATCCAGGAGGGCCTCAATCTTGCTACACTGCTGCGTCAATCCCAAAGTAGCTGGGATTACAGGTAGGCTCTACCACACCCAGCTCCCATGTCTTCTTAGAAGACATCCTTCAGTAGCTTCCTGAGAAAACAGTCACAGAAGATAATTTTTGAGTCCTTGCATGTCTGAAAATGAATTAATCCTACCCTCCAGTTATGAATTTTTTAAAGAACATTTTTCACAGCCTCAGTCTCCTACCATTTCAAATTAAATAAGCTGAACTCTTAGTGTTAGTAGATTCTATATTCATTTCTCTTAAAAGATAAATGTGCTGCAGAATCTCTGCAGTATACTTGTTACATTCCCAATTTCTAATATTTCTTAAGTTGACCATTATTGCTTCAAAACTGTGGCATTAACTCAATTCATTAGCATGTTTTTACAGAAAAACTCAGAATTTGAAAGTCATAATGACCTTGCCATATATATTATGAATTGGGGGTAAATGTATGAAATTATCTTTTGTTACTGTTTCAAACTCCTGTTTGTCTAACAGTTTTGCTTTATTACTACTAATAAATTAAACTCTTAAAATATGAATTTTAATTTCATGCTCAATCAGAACTTGTACATGCTAATTCTTAATCATGTTTTTAAAATTAGCTATTTAATCTAATATTAAAACTAAATGTAAAGTTGAAAATTAATGTAAAAATTAAAGCTTACAGTAATTTTCTATTTATCTATTATAAGACATTGAGTTGGTATTGATTTTTAGCTGTTTAATAAATGTAATTTCTCTCAAGTGAACCCTGTTTCTAGTCATCTCAACCATATGCTACAGTTTATTCAGAAAAATATCCCAAAACCCTAAATTGTACATAAAATCTAAGAAGTTGAACTTTGAAAATAAGACATCTTGAGGAAAAAAAAACCCTTTGAAGAAGCATGTCTACTTATATAAGAGTACTTTTTCATTGGAATAACAATTATACTATACTCAAAATCAGAAATTAAAATGTAAAAGGTAAAAAAAAAACTGCTGTATTGTACACTAGTAGACATAAACCTTGTGTACATTTGCATCAGCCCCACCACATTCACCACATAATCCTTGTAGATTTTATGAATTTTTTTAACCAAAAAGTGAGGTGTGCCCATTATAGTGAAACTTTGTTTAAAAAACTATGCCAGTATTACTTAAAAATCATTCATCAGTGGCAATTATCAAGAATACAGTAACAATAAATGTTGGCAAGAATGTGGGGGAAGAGATACACTCATATATTGCTGGTGAGACTGCAAATTGGTACACCCACTCTGGAAAGCAGTATGGAGATTCCTCAGAACACTTGGAACACTTGGAATGATCCAGTTATTCTACTCCTTGGTATTTATATCCAAAGGACTTAAAATCAGCATACTCCAGTGACACAGCCACATCAATGTTTACAGTAGCTCAATTCACAATAGCTGAGCTAGAGAACCAACCTAGGTGCCCTTCAACAGATGAATAAAGAAAATGTGATACACACACACACACACACACACACACACACACACGATGGAATATTATTCAGCCATAAAGAAGAATGAAATTATGTCATTTTCCAGTAAATGGAAGGAACTGGAGACTATCATGCTAAGTAAAATAAGTCAATTCCTGATATCTCTGATATGCAGATGCTAAAACACAATAAGGCTGGATGGAGAACAGAAGTTCACTGGATTAGACAAAGAGGAATGAAGGGAAGGGAGTAAGGATGAGAATAGGAAAGACAGTAGAATGAATCAGACAGAACTTTCCTATGCTCATATATGAATACACGAGCAGTGTAACTCCACATCCTGTACAACCACGGAATGGGATCCTAATCAGAATAAATTATACTCCATGTGTGTATATGTCAACATACACTTTACTGTCATGTAAGTCTAAAAAGAACAATTTTCTTAAAAAAAGAACTAAATGAAAAAAATTTTTAAATCATTTATCACTAAACTGTCTTTAGTGCAAAAGTAGGATGCATGGGATATTCAAATATACGTTAATGTGGTAGAAATACAGCATTCTAAATAAAGGAGCTTCAAGTGCTTTTCACTTTAGAGCCAAAATATTTTTTCTACTTTCTTCACTTTTTACACTTTTTACCTATAACATTATAGAATTAGGATTAACATTTACTAGAGGTAAATACCAAAGTATGCAAACCTCCCTTAGCAACAAAAATAGTCAACAAATATTCAACATGCTTCTTTTTTATGCCAGCTTCTCTACTTATTAAACATAAAATAATAAGTAACTCAAAACATGGCTCTATCTTCAAAGAATGCACAGTATAGAAAGGAAAACAAATAATAAAGCCAAATCTATGAGGGTTTCTTAGGAAAATGCCCTGAATCTCCCCTACCATTTTTTCTTCCCTAAAGAGATGGAACTCATATACTTTTGTATATGTTGAACAGAGAGAAACATACGGCATGCTTTTGTTTTAGATTCCTTGCTGTATCCTACACATTGTGTAATATGTATAATTGGAAGAAGCAAGAACCAGGAACTATTTAAAGCACTTTACAAATATTTATATTAGCTTCTTTAAGCCATTTCATCCTTACAGCTGTCCTGTGAGATATATACCTATGTTATCCTCACCTTATAGATGAAAAACCCAGGCACAGAGATTCCAACCCAGGCATCTACATTCCAAAGGATGTGTTCTTAACCATGACATTATCCTGCTTTCACTCTATGGTAAAAATGCATCCCTAATCAATAAAGAAAGAGGTTTTGTTTAAGATCAAACAAGACAGCTTGACTTTGAAAATTTAATAGGAATAACATCTGGAGAGCTGTGAGTGGATTTCCTTATGGGCCACAACCTTTATCCTAGAAGCCCAAGGCAAAATTCTGGATACTGCTATACTAGTTGCCTAAGTGCCAGCCTGGAACTTCTCTGAGGACCCCAACTGGAGGCCATACTCAGCTGTCACTTGTTATTAAGCCCCAACATAACTATGCAATATCATCAGGAGCTCAGTACCCGAATGAAGTTCCTTCTTTTAAGTAGAGAGACAAAGACACTGAAGTTATTGTAACAATATTATTGACTTTGTATTTAACAGGGAATTAAAGTCAAGTGAAACCCTATAATACCTATTTCCTAGTGGGCTGAACATTTCATTTTATTGCCATTAAAAGAATCAAAACTACTATACTGTCTGGCATAAAAAAGAGAATTCACCCCTGACCTAGGGCAGATGATGAACAACAAAACAAGCACACGGCAATTACAGCAACACAGGAAGGAGCATAGAGGGCACCTTCTCACATTCAAGAAGTCAAAGACCTCCAAAGGCAAGTAATATCTAAACAAAGAACTGAAGGATAGATGTGCAAGAATTTTCAAAACTTAGCAAAAAGGGGAAATCAAGAAAAGCATATGAGAGGACCCAGAAGTAAGAGAAATGGTGGCAAGAACTGAAGAAAGTTCAGGAGGCCTAAAGCACAGAGCAGAAACAAAAAGGGAACAAGAAATGGGTGAAGGAAGCAAACTGGAAAGGCAACCAGAAGTCACACTATGAAGATCACAGCTGTGCTAGGAGTATGGTTTCAGAACAAGCATACCAAGAAGGGTTCCAGCTACATTTGCCCAGAGGTAGTAGTTTATCAACTAGAGGAGAACAGACACTAGGTATAGGTCAGAGCAGCCAATTAGAAGCATGAACTGGGAAAAGCACTTACAAACAAAAGATATTTAGCTAGTAAGAACTAGAAAAATTAGTAACTGAAAATATGTGATTAGTATGAATATGAAGCCACAGGAAAACTCTAAAGGATTGGTGATGTGGCTCAGTGGTAGAGCACTTGCCTAGCATGCATTAAGTCCTGGGTTTGATCCCCAGCACCACCACAAAACAAAACAAACAAACAAACAAACAAAAACTCTAAAGCCATTCACTGAATATGAAAAGTAAGACAAGGAACAGGACTGAGCCATGCCAAGCAGGCCACATTGTGCTCACATTCCACTGGCCAACCAAAGTGGTTGAATTCTCCCATAGGAAGGTACTGCACATATAGGCA